TGATGAAACATACTGATGATCGTATCTGGTTGCTGCCCTAATGTACTGTTTAAGGGCCGAGGAAATTAACGTTTCCATTAACCTATGGTTGAACGAATTACGTGATGCTTCCGTTGTTAAGCTGTCCTAGTCGACTTATGGTGCATTGAAGTCTTCTACAACTAGGCATCTGCAGTTATGTGTTTAGACAGTCAACTTATTCGGGAGGAAGTCTTCTGCCTCATATTCAGGGCTTCGATATACGTTTGAGTTAACATCTCTCGTGTATCCTAGTCGGCAACACAGCACTTCATATGTCCCACTTTCGTGTGCAGTCGTTCTAATGTCTCTTACAGCTAAGGTATTCTTAACGTAAAGGATAACACCGCCATCTCTGCGTGCTGACCGGTTAGTCTTTGAGAAAACAAATCCTCGTGAATGTTTCACTACCACTTATCTCAGAAGAAAGTCAAGTTTCTGAGACAGCAATGATGTCTAGGCTTTCGATGCTTATTGCACTACTAAGCTCGACCCATCCGTTTAGAAGACAACATATATTTTACATAAATTACGATTAAGATTTGGTCGCATAGTATGGCAAGTATTGGGCGCTGTGTAAAAGGTTGACATTAGATGTAGATTGTATTTGTGTAAGTCACAGCTAGTTAGGAATCAAATAATTCCAACGTTTCGCATGGAAGTCTGGTCCGAGCTTCTTCAGGGAAATAATCAAAATTAAGATATCAAGGATGTATAAATGAATCCAAAAAACGTGTATTTAATCTCCTTATCCAATCCTCTTCGTATGATAACTAATCATTCAGTGTGAAATTGTATTTCTCTTGTTGTATGGCTGTGTATGTATGTATGTACTCCAATTCATATTGGTCTTGATTGTAAATATCAGACAAAAAGGTCACAGGGGATATAGTCATTCGGTAATAGTATTAACGAATTTTTCGTTGATTTACCGGAAAAAAAGTGGAAAGGAGTAATAATAATGATGGTGAGGATGAAAATAATGATAGTAATAGTGAATCAAGTCAATCCAGATTGTGTTATTGTTGATGCAGAAATAATGAAGTTGAGGCTGGTGTTGACGGTAAATAGTTTGAGTCACTTTTTCTGCTTACCAATTAGTAATTTCCAAAGGGCAGCTAACTGTACTCCATCTCGTCTGTTCATACTGTATAGATTCGCCTATATATGTAGGGCTTCGGCTGTCAATCTTTCTTGGTATTACTCAAAACTTTTTTGTAGAATCTTAGCTCCATCAAAGTCAATTTTGTGTCACATTTCTATGGAGTGTAGTGTGACTGTGGATTTGTTTTTTAGTTTCTTAACCTCTGCTGAAGTTTTTGGGATCTGCTTTAAGCATAGTTTATGCTTATTTACTCTCACATTTACCTGCCTGGCTGTTTCCCCTTCATATACTACAGTAAATCTCCGCATTTTATTTCACAAACGCAGCTCTGTTGATTTTCTTTAGGTAGTGGATTTTTAACTTTCATTAAGTTAGAATGTAGGGTATTTGTTACACGAAAGTAAACTCTTACGTCCACATACATTAGTGTAAAAGACGATAAAACTGATTAGGTGGATTTTCATCCTATCCATAGATGCTTTGACATCATTTGTTATCGAAGCCTCACTACACGGAAACCAACCACTCTTAGATCCTTATCTCCTGCTGCTAGTCTGGATTTCGGTTCTTCGTTTGCTTCTAGTTTTTTCATTCGAACAGCAAAAGACGAGTGCTTACTCATGAACACTCCAGTTCCTTGAAGTATGTGAGCCTTTTTCAGAATCTGACCCCTCTCTGTTGCTTCGGACAAGAATTTAAGTAACTGGAGCCTGTTACTTTTGCAGGGACTTCCTTTTTTCTGCCTATTATATATATTCTGAGTAGAGCGACTCCTGGTATGTTTTCCGGTAGCAACTTATTTACCAAGATGTGAACCTTACTAAAGTCGTGTTTGGAACTGTCACGCCGTTCCAGTCCCTACTCCCCCTGTGGAAGATTACGGACCTTCTAAGTTCTACTTTGCCTTTTCTCTGTAGACTTGGCAGTTGGTTCTAGGACTAATTGATTTTTCAGTTTATCGCTCAGTCTCAGTTACTTGTCATTTATCAGAGTTGGGTATGGAAGGCTGATCAAGGTCTAGTTTAGTAACGTTGACAGCCTCAGAACAGGTTTTCATCCCCTTTTGTGAAATTACTGTCATAAATTTGTCACTGAACTGGCTGGGACCTGTGGCCCGCGTAGTTCCTTAGTCGGTATTGATGTTGCTCCACCTCCGTCTTTTTCATCGGAAGCTGACCTGATCATATAGTTGGTAGTTTTCAGACTAGGTCTGCTAGCTCTGGGGATGCAAGAACCTGAAGACACTCACTTCACTCTGCTTTGTGTAGCTTTTCGTAAGTTACCATCGACAAACCTTGTAGGTACTCTACGCGCGACTTTCAGTTTGCTCTGGGACATCCTTAAGGTTCTGCACAGCAACCTGAGTGTCAGACAAACACAAAATCAACGTAGAGTCTCCCAATCAAGTTGCCACACTTCACAGTAGTATACACAAAACGAGCAAATAAAAAAAGTGATATCAGAGTAGACAAAGTTGTATGAGATAAACAGTTTGGAGATAAAGGTTAGTGCAAATATTCAACCATTAAAAGACGTCAAAGAGAATACGTCTGCACCATTCTGACCTATTTCCAGCTGTGTCACTAAGAGTTATAAACAATTAATTCGTTTCGTCTCGGAAGCCCTAACCAGGCAGTTATAATCTCCGCACACTACCCAGACCAACAACAAGGGACTTAATGCACTGGTGCCACTTCTTGTTTTGGACACCCTCAACCACCTTCCAACCTTATCCAAGTTCCACCAGCATTGCACGTCCATGTGAGTCATAGCTCAGCATGCGTAACACTTGTAAAAGCCATCTCAGCTGACCAAGGTTCACAACCTCATCAATTGGCTTGGCAAAAAAATACAGGCGACACGTGAGGGTGATAACCTAAACTGTAAGAAACCTCTGCATAATGTATCAGAAAACTGTTTAAACTGGAAAAAAACAATTACGTCAAACTAGGTGACTAACTATCAGCAATTCGCCCCATAAAGTTTCATACTTTACTCAAAAATTATTTCGATTCGAGTAAAAATACTAGGCTTTGATGTGTAAACACAAGAGATGTCAAAAATGTAACTGGACACAGGAAAATCATTCTTTTTTCACGTCTTCCTGAATTTTTACTGTTAGTTCTAAATCTATTTAGACTGATTTCTAAACCAGACAAACCATTCTATCTAAATTTTGGGGAATTTGCTCTGGTTCAATCCGTAGTCTTACAAAGCACGCAGACTCTTGTAGACTCTAAATGCAAGTGGATTTAAAATGTTGCTCCTCTCCTGAGTTCCCCCCATTTGCCTTGAGAGGTGGTGTATACCCATTTTCCTATTTGCTCTCACTTCTTTAATGTATTGAAACGGTCCTAGGTCTTCAGTGAATCCATGTATTCCCTCCGTGTGTCCACTGGAAACAGCATTAACTTCTGCAGCATTACACTACCGATGTTAGGTGCCTTAGTACGGTCGTCTAAGACTACGCCTTTCATGTAAGTCACCACTTTTGGCAGCTAAACAACTTACGGGCGAATAAGGGGCGAGTGTACCATTTAGCAGATTATCCTGCCGTGTTGTATGGCTAAGATGGGTTTCGATAGTAGATATGAAGAGACAACAAGTTTTCGACCACAAATGACTTCACAGCACTGCTCACTTGTAATGGAATCACCGTGTAAGCAATGTCGAAATTAAACGTGGAGTACTAGGCAAGGAGGGCAAGTCAGTCAATAAGGTTGTGAACTTTCACCGAGCATTATACGTACACACGGTAGATCCGTTCGTTAAGTGCAGACGTTCTAGGACGGTCGGTTGTAAGACTAACTGCAATGACCGGTTAGGGTTATGGACAACCACTCTTGGGTACTGTATCCGTATCTCAAAATAGTAAGACTTCGGTGATCCGGAATGTCATAGACTTGGTTTTCTCGGCTGTTCTGACTGAATGAAAGATGTGAACCTGCCAAGTCCCGACATATAGTCTAGAGCGCGGTCTGGGGAGATTTAGTGTGTAGTTTTATGAGGTTGGGTTAATTATGAGTTGCAAATCTGAAGAGAGTTAACGATGGTGTAGATTTCATAACGAAGTGTCAGGAAAATTCAAGTCTATGGTGCAAAAAGTTAATGGTGTTAGGAGACACTACCACTCCAGACTATACAAAGATAAAACTTGCAGCTACAAATAGATAAATTCTCAGGTATTTTATATGTAAATATGCTCGGTATTTTCTCAAATGCCAACCATGAACTGAGGCTCTGTTGTTGATTGGTTCAGACGAAAACGTATGCTCGAGATAACAGGTGGGCACTTAAAAGAGACAGTAATTCTCCTCTGGTCTTCTCCGATGATGGCTTGTAATAATGTAATACATCTGCATCTGTCGTCGATTAAGATCTCAGCAACCACAAAGAGAGTTGATGTCTGTCTGTTTGAGTCAATACTTATCAAGAACAGTTGGCTGCCAAGACGAAATTTGTAGTGAACGGTCACTTGGTTGGCGTGTGATTCTTAGGTTTTCTCTGGATGTCTTTCTTATTTAGTCGGTATTTCTTCTTGATTAATTGGTCCAGGCAACGATTTTCAACCAGTTGGTCGCGGGTTAGAACGCCGCTCCATGTACTGAAGTCTGGGTAGTCAAGTAGTATAATTAGTCCCTACACAGATGTCTCGCTGCCTACTGCACGGATGTGCACTTTTTTACTGAGTGCATTTGAACTTTTCTTAGAGTTTCTCAGTTTAAATTGAAAACCCATAGTTATTGTGAATGTTCTGTTCCCCTGTCTTTTCTCTTTCAATTCTCACAAATTTATCGAGTCTTTCTCTGGAGTTTGCCGACTTAGATGTGGCTTAATTTGGGTTCCCATTTGACTTATTTTGTAGGTTCTCGGAAGAATGGCAAGCGCACTTTGCCAGCTGGATGAAAATCTTCTGGCCAAGTTGGTAAGTTGTTTTAAGTCATTCTAATCTTATGCTTTTGTGTTGCATATTGTAGCTTGTTTCTCACGCTTCTACAGTTTTCGACACATATGGTATGCATTTAAAAGGAGTGTACACTTGCCAAGACTGTCCACAAAAGCCTTAAGAATTGAACAGCACTGAAACATCGTAGATGACAAAGTGTTCTGTAACAGAACAGAACGTGCAGATACCCCAAATGGTTGATTACGTGAAAAAGAGACATTTACTGTTTTTCGTTGTTGAAACTCTGTACCGAAAACTAGCCAGCACCACTTACATCACTGACCCTATTTGCTCTCGTGTACTAGGCTTTCAGTCAAACCTAATGTTTGAAAGTTATGATGCTAAATGGAGAATATTTGTAGTTCAGGTGAGAATGGTCTTGGTTGCATTGTGTTCTCTAAGCTGGGTCGTGTAGTCGTGGAGTCTTCATCGTCTTGCTAGACGGCATCATCAACGCTGACTTCATACTCCACGACTAAACAGCCCAGCTCAGAGAACACAATACAATCAAATTACGATGCACTGTTTACTAGAAATGCTATGCTGTTATGATGTGGTCGTCGATTAGTGCTGAGTAGTTTCCTGTTCCAGACAACATGCTTAGTAATTGAGACAACAAAAATAAACGAATTTATTAGCCTCTACGGCAATCAAGAATAATAGATTAAACGTGCATGACATTTATAGCGTCTTTTACTACACTTGTGAAAGTAGTTAGTAAGGTGATTTCAGGTAATCTATTTATTAGTAAATTGGTTTGTCATAATTGTAATGCAGCTGAATAAATCTAACCATAGACAAAAAGTATTCAAGCAAAATAATATGCCTATAAAGTAATACTGCTCATTATACCGCAGTTTTTCTGGGAAATAATTGTATTTCCTGGCAGATACTACTCGTTTATTTAGGTTGATTGGAAATAAACCTGTGATATACTGGTATCTATCTGAATGCCTAGAATACAGGGCCACATATTCCATGAAAATTAAAGGTTAAGGAAATTTGACTCCAGTTGTATGTAATTTATTCAGCTTAGTGATAAGCATGGTTTAAAGTCATCCGCATAGGAGTCCATCTACCAATAGCAGAGGTCGAGCAATTCAGTCTGCATAGCAACGGGAAGTTACAAGTATCGTAACAACAACTGATACCCATTTCACAAGAGGTGGCTGTCGTACCCCAGTGGCTTAGCAGGTAACGCTATGGCGTTCGAAGTGAAGGTTACTGAGTACGGGCCTCATTGGGAACAACACCACTCACTGGGGTGCAGGTACATCCAGTTAACGAGTCCCAAATACGACGAAACAGCCATCCTAGATTCTTCTACTAATCACCAAGATCAACATAACATGGTTTAAACTCATTTTTTTACGCGATCAAATTTCATATCACAAGATCACTGGTATATATGTAAAGCCTTTCAAAGTCTAATTTCTTGAAAATTTTAAAAACGAAGTGGTACGTAGTTGCCATTTTGTCGATGTATTAAGTCTTTTTGAAACCGGCTAGGATACTAACGCTGATAAGTGCTGTTTAAACATGTTTCACTCAAAATTTAAGTACATCTTAAGTTTGTGAGTGCTGCTAGGACAAAATATCTAATGATGTGTTTATTCATGTGACGTCACATTATTTTGTCCGAAGAAAAATATGTTCTTGAAGAGTTTGACTGTGAAACATGATCACCAAAGCAGTGAAGTCAAAGAGAATGTTGGAATCTAGTTATTTCTGTTTGTGTAACGGTTATACCTGCCCAAAACGTATATGAATAATGTTAACCACGAAAGATGTTTCTTTTTCGCAGTGGAAATTTATTCTTTTCGCCCCCCTTCTGGAGAACATATTTAGACTCCGAGTAATCGTTGGTTTGAACAAGCGTGCTTTAATTGTGGGAAGAAAGTTACACCCTGAATGCCCGTCCAACCATAGCTCAAAATTCAAATTAATAAGGGTGTGCTTACTAACACATTTAATCGAAAGTACTGTTATTATTCTCATCCTGAACTAAGCTAGTATCATCTGCAATTTGTTATGAAAACCCTACCGAAACCCATTTATTATTATTTATTATTTTTCCCTTGGGTTTCTAGTGGAACATAGGGCTTCAGTAGCACGCCTCCATTACACTCTCTTCTCTGCAGTCTTTTGAACTTCGCGCCACGACTGCCCACAACCTTTCATTTCTCCTTCACATCATCTCCATGTCACCCTCACCTCGGACCCTCAACTCATCGGTTCCCCTTTGGATTCCACTCCACGGCCTGGCCTGGCGCGTAATGTCCCCAGTCGGCCTTCTCAGTGTATGCCCAATCCAATCCATCTCCACTTCCTTCTACTGTATACTTCTTGGGCGATGGGTTCTTGGTTGGTTCGTTGCCAGCCACCCAGAATTCCTTGTTGCTTATTCTTATTATTCTGACCATCCATCTGATCTTCAGTATCGAGCCAGTGTGGGAAACTGTTGATGATGACTACCTGTAGTTTGATGGAAGTGCTTTTCGTGACACGCCAAGTCTCTGAACCATACAGAAGCACTGACTTGACTGGCATTGATGTTGAAAATCCGGATGTTGTTCACGCCTTGTGCTGAGTGAAGTACATCTCCACACTGATTTCAGATTAATGCAGGAAGGCCTGTCTTGCTTTTCCAATCCTGGTTTTCACATTCTTGTCTGTGCCTGTGCCGCCAACTGTAGTTGAAACGATGCTGCCTAGATAGGTGTAGGTGAAAGAGACTACTTCGTTTAAGTTTCTCCCGTAAATGGTGATTGGAGCTAGTTGTTGTTGGTGGTGGTGATGTTGTTGGTTGGGTATCTTCATCATCTCCGTCTTCTCTACGTTAACTTGAAGTTCCGTCTTCGCTGCCCTACCTCGCCTCTTCTGCCAACTTGTTAGTTTTCACCTGTAGATCTTCAAGTTTGTGCGACATTAGACATTAATCATCGTCGGCGAAATCCAAATCTTCTTAGATCTTTTCCCCGGTCGTATAGTTAACTGCAAAAGAGGTTAAGGAGGGACTAGTGGAATAGCTAGCTAGCTAGATAGCTAGTTTCGAACAACATACAGAGCTAGAGCCTGTTCAATGTAGAGTGACAAAAACATTTTAGCGTTTTTGAAGTAATGAACGACAGGGACAACAGCAAACATTTCTTCAGAGCTGTTTAGGAAACAGATGTACGCACGGGGGTTAGGGAAACTGTGATCAGTTCTCTACACACCAACTGACTGAACTAATTAGCAAAGCGCTTTAAGGAATAGTCTGGATAGTTTGTGACAACCAACCATAGCCATAGAAGAACACGAAAATCAACGAGAGAGAGAGAGCTGTTACTAACCTGAAACAAACTAGTAAAGCAATTTTTGATGGGCTATTCACAGAATTCTTCAAGAACGGTAGTCTGGAGTTATTAGTTAAATTGACTTGTTTTCCTTAGAGTATAGGTAGAGGATATCATTCCGTCTGGCTGAAGTCTACCAATCATCATCTTGGTGTATACGAAGTGGTAGAAACATTATCTGGTATCCACAAAGGAAATTGTCTAACCAATGTACTTTCTAAAGTTCCATGTTCTTGTGCCTAAACAAGGACAAAGAAGAGCATTGTCGAGAGAGCAGGTCAAATTCCAATTATTATTCTTAATGTTTAAGCCCAATTCTAATCAATTACTTTTTACCACTATACAGTCATGATTACAAGCTGCGGATTTGTTTTGCTGACAAGTATTAACAACCAGGAAACCTAAGTTTTTCAGTTTCTCACTGGTTCCATTCAACTACTCAATATAATCCAATCACGATTAGGTAGTTTAACAACATGTTTTTATAACACTAACGCAAAGTATTATTGTTAAACCCTCAGTGCACAAAAGATTTCATCAAAGATGTCATGAAGCAAAAAGATCAATGAATTTGACTAAGAAATTTAATATCTAATTTATCATATAGAATATCTTAGGCTGGGTTACTGTGTTATTCATGGAGGCCTAACGTCGAGATCTTTCAAGGTTGAAATAGATCAACGTCAACCTTCAGGGACAAAAATTCCTTAAAATGCAGAAGAAATTCCATCCATACCAGTTTATATATTGAACTATAATCACTCTATAGGTAACATAACTCAAATGGATAGGAAAATAGGACTAGATCTGTGTATTCATAAATACTACTCTTGAAACATACAACAGTTGACTAAATTCAGTTCCTTTCATTACAGGGAATGAACTGAATTATCTAATGGAAGCATGTTTATCGTATCTAACAAGAAATGTTTGACTAAAATTCTAGCTATTAAAGTGATAACGAGTAACAATTTTTTTTCACTGTATTACCAAAATAAATAAAAAACTGTTGTTTATTACAAGTTTGTTTCTAATACTATGTTTCATCGGTTACTGTATGACCTGTTCATTACTATAATTAGTTTCTGGTAAGTATATCACACTTGGAAGACACCACATGCCAAGTAATTCACAATGAGAAGCTCAGTGACACCTCTGAAGTGAAGACAGGAGTAAAACAAGGCTGTCAACTACCACCCATGATATTCCTGATTGTGGTCAACCGGACTGGATCATACAACAAACAATGAGAAGCGAGAAGAGGGGGATACACTGACTGGACCGGGGAAAAAAACCTAGAAGATTTGGATTTCGCCGACGATGATTAATGTCTAATGTCGCACAAACTTGAAGATCTACAGGTGAAAACTAACAAGTTGGCAGAAGAGGCGAGGTAGGGCAGCGAAGACGGAACTTCAAGTTAACGTAGAGAAGACGGAGATGATGAAGATACCCAACCAACAACATCACCACCACCAACAACAACTAGCTCCAATCACCATTTACGGGAGAAACTTAAACGAAGTAGTCTCTTTCACCTACACCTATCTAGGCAGCATCGTTTCAACTACAGTTGGCGGCACAGGCACAGACAAGAATGTGAAAACCAGGATTGGAAAAGCAAGACAGGCCTTCCTGCATTAATCTGAAATCAGTGTGGAGATGTACTTCACTCAGCACAAGGCGTGAACAACATCCGGATTTTCAACATCAATGCCAGTCAAGTCAGTGCTTCTGTATGGTTCAGAGACTTGGCGTGTCACGAAAAGCACTTCCATCAAACTACAGGTAGTCATCATCAACAGTTTCCCACACTGGCTCGATACTGAAGATCAGATGGATGGTCAGAATAATAAGAATAAGCAACAAGGAATTCTGGGTGGCTGGCAACGAACCAACCAAGAACCCATCGCCCAAGAAGTATACAGTAGAAGGAAGTGGAGATGGATTGGATTGGGCATACACTGAGAAGGCCGACTGGGGACATTATGCGCCAGGCCAGGCTGTGGAGTGGAATCCAAAGGGGAACCGATGAGTTGAGGGTCCGAGGTGAGGGTGACATGGAGATGATGTGAAGGAGAAATGAAAGGTTGTGGGCAGTCGTGGCGCGAAGTTCAAAAGACTGCAGAGAAGAGAGTGTAATGGAGGCGTGCTACTGAAGCCCTATGTTCCATTTTGATCTCAAGCGATAAATAATGATAATATCACATTTGTGAAGATTGTTTACTCAAACTAGTAACCTTGTTTGAGCCTGTGGTTAGTTCATCTTTTGAGATGGTAGCGTAACGCAATGTTCGTTAAGAATTTTCACTTTGGTGATTCGAGCGTATCTCTATCTATAGGCGTACTTTTACAGACTTCAGCTTTTTTTGATTTCATAGGGTTTGATCTTTTTTTTTGAGGTGTCACCTGTAGGACTTAGTCTACCCGCCCTAACTGTTCCTACTAGGTAAAAATGCTGGTGAAAAATAGTGTTCTGAATACGTAGGGTAAAGTCTATTTCTTACTGAAGTTCTATACCAGTGACATTGTCTAGAATGACAGCGAAGGCTTTACTATTAAACCATCCAACTCAAAGAATGCAACACCACCAAAGTCACCCTCCTGAGGTACAAATATTGTCGATCATCTCAAAAACGACATTAGTTATCATCCAGTGATTGATTCTTTTCCCTTCACTCTATCGGCTAATAATGAGGAAATCGGACCAGCAGCTTAGTTTATATCACACTCAATCCTACGTATACTTTTTTGCACGACATTTAGGAATCTTATGTTACCTCTAGTTCTTAATATTTTCCACTTAAAAATTCGTGCAGAAGTTTTTAGATCCCGTCGTTTCATGCATCCAGTACTACATAAAGATTATAAAAACTATAGGTAAAAAATATTGAGTAGATAAACGTTTGTGTTCCGAAAGCTGAATTTTTGAATATCTATTTAATTTCTACCATCTAGTGTAAAGTTTGAAGTTTATGACTCCTTTCTATTGTCAATCATTTGAATAATTACCCTCAATTTTCAGGAGTCAAGTAAATGGCAGGAACGCAAAGAAGTTTTAGAACTCATCAGTAATCAGTTGAAAGTTTCAAACTTATCTAGCGGGCTTTGTAGTGTTCTTACAAAGGCATTGTGTCAAGTAAGTGATTACTTTATTGTCTTAACTTCTTTACATTTGCGTTTTTTATTACCTCTACCTTAAAAAATATGAAGGGTTCTTAGTATCTATTGTGTTATTAATGGATAGTAAGATTTGTGAAAGCAGTGCTACTTCGAATTAAATATTCAAGGAATGTGTAACGATAGCTTAAAGACTGAAATGTAGGTATAATAAACTATCATATCAATTTTTTTAACCACTTTCTGAAATAGTTCTAAAATACTACGTTTTCTTAATAGTGTCATTGTTGAATAACAAAGTTATAAATCTATTGTACCTGCCTATCGTAATTACTATCCGAAAACTCAGGTACTTAAAACTTTAACGGTGGATGACTTTCTCATGCGCTTAACGTAGGAGGTTTTAAGAGAACAGTGAACTCTTTATTCAGTGACTTTATAATCTATCGAATCATAGTTTTTTTATTTAAATTGTTTCTAATTCATTGAAATGAGGTTCATTTCACTCAATGTTAGCAAACTTACACTTTTCTGAGCATCGTATATAAGACATTTAGTCGCACCTTAAGCTAGTTTAATGTATTAAGTGTTACTAACTTTTCTTGATTGAGACACTAGTTATTGTGCATATTCACTTCTCAGATACAAATTCATAGTTCAGTTACCCTTCTTATCTACTTGACTCTTGTTTGATTCAAATAAGAGACTTTTAAAAGGTTTGCAAACGTGTACCCGTTAACGAAGTTTTTCAAATAGTTTTGTAATGCAGCTTTATTAGTCCAAATATTTCGGTTGTAGAATAAAAATTCACAAAATGCTGATTCATTTATAAGGGATATTAATTGAACTGTTTGGATTTGCGCTAGTCTTTAACCGAGGCTCACAAGTATGCCACAGTAAGATCCGATAACTCTTTAATGGTTGTCAATTTCGGTTTTACGACAGATTCTTCAGAATCCTTCTGGTAAACACCGTTAACTTACCTGAATCAATCTGCTTTCTAATAAAGTAAAAAGCTTACTAACGATGGTTATCTGAGAATAAAAAGTGTGTGTTCCACTCCAACCAGTATTTAGCAGCTACAGTAGTTTGATTGGTGTATGCTGTTCCTGGGAACCACAGAGGAGGTAAACGTTTGTTGACAACTCAGATATCACGATGGGAAGCTCAGTGACACCTCTGAAGTGAAGACAGGAGTAAAACAAGGCTGTCTACTATCACCCATGATATTCCTGATTGTGGTCAACTGGACTGGATCATACAACAAACAATGAGAAGCGAGAAGAGGGGGATACACTGACTGGACCGGGGGAAAAACCTAGAAGATTTGGATTTCGCCGACGATGATTAATGTCTAATGTCGCACAAACTTGAAGATCTACAGGTGAAAACTAACAAGTTGGCAGAAGAGGCGAGGTAGGGCAGCGAAGACGGAACTTCAAGTTAACGTAGAGAAGACGGAGATGATGAAGATACCCAACCAACAACATCACCACCACCAACAACAACTAGCTCCAATCACCATTTACGGGAGAAACTTAAACGAAGTAGTCTCTTTCACCTACACCTATCTAGGCAGCATCGTTTCAACTACAGTTGGCGGCACAGGCACAGACAAGAATGTGAAAACCAGGATTGGAAAAGCAAGACAGGCCTTCCTGCATTAATCTGAAATCAGTGTGGAGATGTACTTCACTCAGCACAAGGCGTGAACAACATCCGGATTTTCAACATCAATGCCAGTCAAGTCAGTGCTTCTGTATGGTTCAGAGACTTGGCGTGTCACGAAAAGCACTTCCATCAAACTACAGGTAGTCATCATCAACAGTTACCCACACTGGCTCGATACTGAAGATCAGATGGATGGTCAGAATAATAAGAATATGCAACAAGGAATTCTGGGTGGCTGACAACGAACCAACCAAGAACCCATCGCCCAAGAAGTATACAGTAGAAGGAAGTGGAGATGGATTGGATTGGGCATACACTGAGAAGGCCGACTGGGGACATTATGCGCCAGGCCAGGCTGTGGAGTGGAATCCAAAGGGGAACCGATGAGTTGAGGGTCCGAGGTTATTTATCTTATTTGGATACATTAGTAATATTGTTAACTCTCATGCAGTAAATGTGAATCAGAAACTATGCATATACCCATAAATTAGATTGAATTTTAACTCTAAGCACATAATTTTACCCAGTTTGGTTATTGTGTCTCATTTATGTGTGGAACTCAACTGGTTAAAGGATTGTAGACTAGGCTTTGAGCCATATCTGTTATTTGAAGGTTTGTGATACTACGTGGTTGCCCATACCAACGTTACTGAAGTCAGGACGCATTGCTTCAAGGCTAAATTCTTAAGTCAGTGAGCCATATCTCCATGTCGTACCCCAAGTTGCTGAATAAATGTCAAATAATCGAAATATTGATGTTGTTTGCGGTCGAAATACATCCACTTGACGAGTCCTCTTTAGGATGGAACGCGCTTCTTGGATAAAAATGAATAATATTCGGTTTGAAGACTATTAATCTAAAAATCATTTTAGCTTATAACTACTATAATAAGCCAATTTTTAGGATTGGTGGTTTTTATCTATAGGGTTTCAACAGGATTCTGCCCCTGCGACTTTGAAGTTACTATCCGCTTCACATATATTTTCAGCATTATACAATATGCTGAAATTGCTTCACTTTGTATCGTCTGTTTTTGTGTCATTTTCCTCAGGTAATCTCATCAGATAAGCATTCAATGCTAGTTATTCGTGCCTCTGGTGTCTTATGTGAATTAATTGAATCAGTTGGTAGTGGTTTCTCAGTTCATGCAGAACGTGCTCTTTCTACATGTTTATTAAAAATTAAAGAAACAAAAGCGAATTTAGCTCAAACACTACGTTCTACTACAACTGCTATCGTGGATACAGTTAGTTTGATTCTTGTTTTAAATATCTCGTTAATATATTTATGATTTCAACTGACGAAATGTGTGTATTCAGTATGGATATTACTCCTAAACTTACTTTGATGTGTATTGTCCTTAAAATAATGAATAATATACTTCCTATTTAAAGTAGTAATGCTCTGTTTTTAGCTTTACTGCATTCCGCTCTGTCCTATTACACGTCTATGAGACATGGTCATTAAAAGTAGGTGTCAAGAGATAATAGGTTTTCAATAACAGGTGTCTTCTTACAGCATTACTCGCGTGTGATAGAATCACCATATATGAAATATTTTTTTTGAGGGGGTTGTGGAGATTTGGAAATATTTCAAGTTGTTATTCATCGAAACAGCTGTCCAGTGCTCCCAGGTTTCCTTTGTTCCTCCAACTGATGTCAGTCTTCGATGAATAACAACTTGAAATATTTCCAAATCTCCACAACCCCCTCAAAAAAAAATTTAATTGAACTGATGCTCATTGGTGACTAGCTTCGAGAAGTATTCCCGAAGTTCCAATGACAAGTCGTGACTGGTGGAGTCAAAGCCTGATGGCCGTGAGGACAGATACTCAACGATGACATTGGGTGGCGGTTCGCGCTATATCGTGAGCTAACAGAAGTTGGAAATATGGAGCATTGGATTGTGACCGGGTGGCTCAATGGTAAGGCGCTGGCCAGGGAACCTGAAGGTCGTGGGTTCCAACCGTGGTGGGGTGGTGGGTGCGCACTGCTGACCAGTCTGATACCACCACGAAACAGCTGTCCAGTGCTCCCAGGTTTGCTTTGTTCCTCCAACTGATGTCAGTCTTCGATGAATAACAACTTGAAATATATGAAATAGCTTGGTTAGATGTAGAGTAACAGACAAAGAAGGCGCAAGTCAGTCGATGAGGTTGTGAACCTTTACCGACCGAGTGGCTTGGATTTGTGTTGCTCATGCCTAAATATCGCTTACCACGAAGCGCAATTTAACTCGATGTAGAGGATTGGATTGCAAATAGACTAAAGGTGACCAGACCAAGATGTGGCACCGGTCCACGGAGTCCCCGGGATAATAAGGAACAATGGCTGGAGATTCTTGGTGACATGGCTGATAGTCGTAATGGCGCAGGTGGATTCACTTTTTGATGTATTCTAATTTTCAACATTTTCACTAACGCATTTTGTCTTATTTTGGGACTCTTCAGCTGGATGTACCTCCCTCCAGGTGAGTGATGTCCATCTTTAACTAGAACACAGGTATATCGAGGTGTCCGCACAGGAGCCCATATGCCAATAGAGACCGATCAATTCGGTCCAGTCAACGACGGTATAATACAAGCAATATCACTAGAACTATACCCGTCGCACAAGAAGTGGCTATCGTGGCTCGGTGGTGTAGTGGATAACGCTCTGGCGTCTGAAGCGATCGCTCCCGAATCCCGGTGGGAACAACATCGCTTGCTGGGAGCCGGCAGGTGCATGCAGCTGACGAGCCCCAAGTAGGACGAAACGTGCATCCTGGATTCCACTGCTAGCCACTATCCATCTTTGCTATTTTCAATAATTTCGCTTTTTAAATTACCCCCTACCTGCTCATACATCTTCGTGCAACTTGATATAACTTTTTCTATCCATGCTACCGCGAATGTGGTAATTTGAACCAATGCATTTGTGTGAGAGGGCAACTTTAAAGGTCACAACCAATTATAACTTTCTATTTTATGAAAATCTAACTTTCTAGCCGAAATACTGAGGCCGGATTGGCTGCTCCAACAGTTCGTAAGGTGGCCTTTAAATTCACCTGTATGAGGGATTTGTTTGTCTCTGTCTATGCATGTGAGAACATATAGTAATGTTGCTGTGAAGTGGTCGTAGTAACCTAAATATCTCTACACACATCTTAACAATGTTATTATTCTTTCTTACTGTGTTTAGCTTACTTTTCATCATTTAGACACTAATTGATACACTTACATTTGTTCATTTTACCCGTCCCTTTGTTAGTTTCACTTCATTTTATCGTAACAAGTTGTAACAATTTTGATTCTTGTTTATCTTCTCTCTGCCTTATATTCATGTTTCTAGTTGTTACATGATGTGATTAATATATAAAGTAATCTTTGATGATCTAGTTATACTCTCTTGAGAATAAATCCAGCTTCGAATGAGCCTAAGAAATCCATGATCAATTCGTATGTGAATTTAGTTAAACTAACCAGGCATTTCTAAAATAGGGATATGAATATTGTGGAATGCATAAAGGAAATTTGTGTATACTAAGAGGTTGGTACATATTGTCGTTCGTATTTACAAATTGAGTTCAGCTTATAAATTAGTATGTGAACTTTTTCTGCCTTAACCAAAATCATATGAATTGCAGTTTTAGACAACTTCTGTAGCGGCATTCCAATTGGTCATATATTTAGTCTCTTTTGGAATTAAGCCTTAGATTTTGAAACTTCTTGGCTTAGGTATACCCACTATGAATCCTTATGGTTGAAGATATCATTCATGTGGTATAAATTATCCTCCAAATATCTCTTAGATGACCGCAATTGTCATTATTACACTATAAAGGTTTCAAATATGTGACTTCATAGTTAACAAACATTCTCAGGTTATAGGCTGACTACATTCTCATTTCTGATTAGTGATGGATTTATTAGTTCTACAGTTTTTTTTTCCCGATCTTTTTGCTTTTACATCTATAAGTTTCCGTAATATCTCGTGTTGCACTGTAAACGCTAAAGGTGTAGGCGATTAGTCAGATCTGAGTATCATTACTTGTTATGAATTTGTAGGGGGGAATATATGCTGTTGAATGAAATATTTCTGCAGCATCTGTTATATGATACCGATCTAACAGCTGAACTAACCAGATTAGTTTATAAATGGAGGCATCTTGAAATTTGTTTTGTATCCTCTTTTATGAAGAAGGATTTTTGGATAATGGATGAAGGATTTGGGAAACTTATTTGATCATGCCATTTATTAAAAAGCTACAATAGTCTGATGTTTTATCTTACATTGAAGAGGTATGAAATCATTCCTTTTTTTACTGATAAGCGTGTGCACCATTGTAGCAGTCAGTACACTTTGTTTATGAATACAAACGAAGTTACATAACGCCTATATGCTTCTTCCTCTGCTTCATGTTCTGTATTCAGATGCAGCTTCGTAGACCGTTCCACATTTTTTTTTAAGTATATACATCTCTCTGAAATTTTTTCATGAAATCAAACGTTGAACTATTCTTCAAAGTATCTTACAAACCGATATCTTTGTACATCTGCTTGTAGATGCCTTTTGATATGGCTTTATTGCAATTACAAAATGCTTTAACTACACCAGTGGCCAAAATACAAGCTGAAGCATTACGTCTGCTAACTCATATCTTCTGTAAGAGTAATCCAAAAAATCAACTTCAACTATCTCAACGCTTAAAAATTGTTAAACCTCTTTTATCTAATGTTGTTCAATTCTCTGAACACAGAAGTCCAGAGTGTCGTGATGCATGTTTTGAAATGCTTGCTGCAATTCGCATTTTTCTAGATTTTAGTAGTCAACAATTCGTCTCTATCACCGATAAAATGTTGGATGATACTCGACGTTCTAAGGTGGATATTGCCTTCTTACAATTAAGTGAAAGTATATTTTCACGAGAATATGTGAAAAATACAAATACTAATTCAGTATCTAAATCTAAAAGTCTATCTGCGAAACAACAATTGATCAATGATTCTGATTTTGTTCTTACTCGTAAGTTGACGATTGACTGTTATAGTTTATTTAAAGTATAAAGTGTTTCACAACTTATCTTTTGTTCTATCGTTGATCCATAGTTAATAAATGTTTCTCCACGATCAACTGACCAAACATGATATTTTTCCTGTTACATTTTTTTAATTCACCAGTTAACTGGAAACTATATTTCCAAGGTTATGTGTATAGAATGTATTTCTAGAAAATTTCCAAACATTGGTTTCTGGATTCCATATATCAACTAAATTTTTCATATTCATATAGCGGTTTTTATTTGAAATTATGGATGGAAATTGTGTTAATTTATTTAAGTCGATAGAACTATCTGCTCTCGTATTTCACTATTATTATCTTTCAACACAGTTACCCTAAATCCATCAACGTAGGTAAATATACTTAGATTCCGTTTTCAAATCCACAATAATTAGCGCATTGTAAGATTGAATAATTCTTCTTAATTTAGATTGTTATTCTTTGGAGGTGTTTATTTGGAATGACAGTTGGAGTGGCTCCACTCTAGCAACTAGTAAAACAACCATTTAGGCTTTTATATTTTATGAAGAAATTCCTTCGAAGTTCAGATTATTATTATTATTTGTCCCTTGGGTTCCTAATGTAACATGGGGCTTCAGTAGCACGCCTCCATTACACTCTCTTCTCTGCAGTCTCTTGAACTTCGCGCCACGACTGCCCACAACCTTTCATTTCTCCTTCACATCATCTCCATGTCAACCTCACCTCGGACCTTTGAATTCCACTCCACGGCCTGGCCTGGCGCATAATGTCCCCAGTCGGCCTTCTCAGTGTATGCCCAATCCAATCCATCTCCACTTCCTTCTACTGTATACTTCTTGGGCGATGGGTTCTTGGTTGGTTCGTTGTCAGCCACCCAGAATTCCTTGTTGCATATTCTTATTATTCTGACCATCCATCTGATCTTCAGTATCGAGCCAGTGTGGGTAACTGTTGATGATGACTACCTGTAGTTTGATGGAAGTGCTTTTCGTGACACGCCAAGTCTCTGAACCATACAGAAGCACTGACTTGACTGGCATTGATGTTGAAAATCCGGATGTTGTTCACGCCTTGTGCTGAGTGAAGTACATCTCCACACTGATTTCAGATTAATGCAGGAAGGCCTGTCTTGCTTTTCCAATCCTGGTTTTCACATTCTTGTCTGTGCCTGTGCCGCCAACTGTAGTTGAAACGATGCTGCCTAGATAGGTGTAGGTGAAAGAGACTACTTCGTTTAAGTTTCTCCCGTAAATGGTGATTGGAGCTAGTTGTTGTTGGTGGTGGTGATGTTGTTGGTTGGGTATCTTCATCATCTCCGTCTTCTCTACGTTAACTTGAAGTCCCGTCTTCGCTGCCCTACCTCGCCTCTTCTGTCAACTTGTTAGTTTTCACCTGTAGATCTTCAAGTTTGTGCGACATTAGACATTAATCATCGTCGGCGAAATCCAAATCTTCTAGGTTTTTTCCCTCGGTCCAGTCAGTGTATCCCCCTCTTCTCGCTTCTCATTGTTTGTTGCATGATCCAGTCCAGTTGACCACAATCAGGAATATCATGGGTGGTAGTTGACAGCCTTGTTTTACTCCTGTCTTCACTTCAGAGGTGTTACTGAGCTTCTCATTGTGAATTACTTAGCATGTGGCGTCTTCATATAGTTGTTGAATGAAATTGATGAAGTCCAAATTGATATAAAGATAATTAATTGATTATTTCATTATCTCAGGTTGGCATTCATCATGAACTGATATCAGTTAAAGAAACATTGGGAACCTAAAAGCCCTGGACAGCTTTTTAGTTGTAGAATAGGACTCAGCAGTGTGCACCCATAATTCCGCCAGAAGTCGAACGGAGAACCATCAGGTTTCTCAGCTGCCATGTTACCATTGAGCCACGGGTTCGGGCTCAAATGGTTAATTTTTTCCACTTCTATGAGTTCACGATGTAGCTTGACCTCCTTGGAATGTCATTATTGAGTAACTGTTGTCATGTTCGACTTAGTTGACCCCACTTGAAAATTGTATTTCATTATCTGCTAGGTTGCATTTTAGAGTCACTTGATAATCCTTGCTTTTAGTTCTTACTGTTTTCCTCAAAACCACTACTATGGTTGAAGTGGTTTTCACCACTTTTGGAAAGTGTAAATTTGACCATGTGTCAATGGTGTTTAAATATAGTAACCGTGTGATAGGTTTATATTTAAGCATATCATGTGGGCATGATAACATTCTGGTGACTGTCCGCATATACTCATCTGACACAATAACCAAAGAGATATGTCTGTCTTTCTAAGTGAAGAGTATTACCATATGACATGAATACATGTCGTAATTCTATTGGCTACTCATCGTTTAACTATGATTATTTCTAAAGGTCACGCCAGCAACCACTTGAATAACCGATAGAAAAACCTTATTTGTTTTATTCAGTAGCTGTTGGGATAAGTTTTACATTCACTCTAAGTTATTGTGGCTGACTTTCTACACATATCTGTATATGAACAATTTTTATGATTTCAGTGCATTCCTTGATTACTATCTGTCCTATTGTTGTTGGCTGCTATGTGAATCCAAAATTGTAACCACAATTCTCGCTTTTTCCGTGTTTTTTTGCATCTCAGCTTCATGTCAGTACTAAGTGTAGAAATTAGTTCATAATTGGTTTTTCGAATTTTACAACTAGTGTCAAGAGCAGGACCGAGCAGGGATGAAAAACCTTGATTACATCGAACGATTTGAGCTGTACTGTACTACAATACAAAATAGTGATGTTGATGATGATGTGACTGTGTGTGAAAATATTGGTATACCATTCCGAGAAGTTAATCTTATCCTACACTTCATGGTTCCGTATCTTTGAATAAGTTAAAATAATGAATACTCAAGTACTATGTGCCAAACAGTTTTGTGATAGCAGAAAAACTGTTTATGCATAGAATTCAGGTGAACATTCTGGAAGTTTATTCAGGGTTCAATTCTTCTATGATAGCTCCCATACTTTTAGATAATGTAGTAACTGCTTCACTAATTACCGAAAGTACTTCAACTATCCATGACCTAATATTAACGAATCGAAATAGTTTCTATGCAGTTGGAGATCGGGAGAATATATAGTTAAGCCTGAAAGAAGAACCTTAAGATAATACACTGATTGTCGAAAATACTTCGTACATGAATGACGTAATGGTGACGAGTAATGACCATTTCGTTGGGAGAATATACAGTTGAACAAAGGTAACGGACTACTGGGAATTAGTTTACAATTTCAGATTTGATGATTACAGTTCTTATGCTTACAGTTTTGAGGAAGACATTAGCAACTACAATTCCTACTTAGTTCACCAGAATTCCAAAGAACTGAGATTCCACCACCATTACCTACTAATGGTTCCATATGACCTTCTGGAGGAGAAAAGACTGTTCTGATGAGATGATTTGGTGATTTATGACCATTCGGTCAGATACGTACGTATGAATTAAAGAGTCAAGTTTGTATATCTCATTCACTTTTAAGGAAATATACAGATGTATGAGACAAGTGAATGCAATATCCTAATCACACTAGCTGTTCACGTACATATGACAAACGCTAACCCTATGGTTTTATGAAGAGTCACTCTAAAGGTCATCTTACCAACCACTAGAATAACCAATTAGGTTTCCTCTTTCCTACTGGATAGGTAGTTTTTCATAGTATAAAGAAAGCTAATTGGTTATTTCAGTAATTGCTTGGGTGGCCTTTGTAGTTACTCCTTCGCATAGATATGGTTTTTTTAATCGAAATGTCTGGTTTCATTGCAACGTGTGATTGATTTGTCTAGATTTTGGATTTCTTAGTAATTGTCAAGTGATCTTTTGTTCAACGAGTTTCTTTAATTTACGATTTTCATGAATTCACTTTTAATATTGTTTTAAACTTGAAACATCTCTATTTTCCCCTAACATTTAGCCATTAAATCGTCGGATAAGACAGCGAATACGTTTTCTAAGACAGGAAAGCAACCACTACGTGAAATCTCTAAAAATCAAAAACAAAGTCATTTATCAACTAGTACACCATTTTCAGATATTCAAAAGGTTAAATCTCGTACACCCAAACAAAATGACAAAATATCTACTCCTGTGTGTACTTTGCCAAAAATTCCTTCTTCACACAAACGTGAACAGTCGAAACAACCTCCAGTTATGGGTAAAACAAGAGCTCAAAGTAAAAAAAAAGAAAAATATTTACCACGGGATTTGAATTTATCCCCTGATCAATTACGAATTAGGCTTTCTGAGTAAGTCCGTGCATGAAATATGCGCGTTAATAATTTTTACGGGACTCTGCGTTCCTTTATCTACCTACTTGCCAGTATCTAATATTATTGTTGCTTGTGATAATATTTTGATTATTTATCCCGATTTCAGCTGCTACATGACAAAAGGTAAGTTGATTGATGAGATTGCTAACAGTCATCATTTGAGCTGGATGAGTTACATAAGCCTAGTCAGTGTCTACCCTGATGAACCATGCTGACTTAAAGTACAACCGGCTTGAAACATGTTATACTTGACTGCACTAATACATGGTATCAGTCCGTGAAGTCTCCGACTGTTTATCTCATCTATCTAAAATAATTTGAACTTTCCGGCTGAAATTTACGTGTTAACCGAAATCAGTAATTAGAGTTTCTAGGTCATATGACTCACAATGGATCTCGATGGCACATATGCATCATCACCCTGTCTTCATAAGACTGTTGTTCACTGGTTTAGGGAGATGACTTTCAGTCAATGGGTCACGTGTTCGAGCGTTGCTCGAACTACCAAGATTTGGGCAACCAAATAGGACCGTTAACCCTTACACGATGGGTGTGCGACTCATGGCCTACTGCACGAATGTGCACGGAGTCACTGAGAGCCTCATGTCAACCATAATATCATATTTAATTGTTTGCGCTGACTCCACTTCCTTTTGTCACATGCCTTTCTGCGACTTTTAACTTATTTGTATTTCTTTGTCTTTCGTCTTGTTGCTTTCTAACTTGATATTCAGCATCGTTATTGATATTGGCTGATTGAATTAGTGTATTTCGATTTCTCTTTATTTGTAGAAAAAAAGTGGAAAGCGTGGAAGAAAAATTTCAGGTTTTAGCTGCTAAAACTGTTCTAGTAATTTTGTTGCTCTCTAATTTTTGACTTTTTGGAGTGACTCTAAACACCATCGTAGCAACTGCTGGAATAATCAGTTAGGTTTTGTTATTTTATCAAGAACTACCTTTCCAGTGGAAGTAGAGAAACGTAAATGGTTATGATATTGATCGCTAGGAGCTTCGGATGTCAGTGTGTGCGCCATCTTTAAAGCTGCTCTACTTCCTCATGAAGCAACATTTAAGGTAACGCATAAATTGATGTGGAAAACTCTACTCCGGAAAACTGAAGCCTAGCAACCGAAAAAACGCACCAGAACATTTGCGACTCCAGCTGATAAATATTTAGCAGACGGAGTTTGAAGCAAATATGTATTTTATTAAATATTTTGTCAGTAGACTGTAGTAGGGTTTGATTATTTTATCGTTATTATTATTATTCGTCCCTCGAGTTCCTAGTGGAATATTGTTAGTGATTCGGTAGCACGTCTACATTTCACTCTCTTCTCTGCAGTCTTTCCGACCTGGCTCCACGATTACCCACAAGCTTTCATTTCTTCCTCACACGGTCTCCTCCATGTCATCCTAGCCTCAGACGCCCAACTCGTCGTTTTCCATATGGGTTCCACTCGAGGGCCTGGACTGGTGTGGTGCGTGATGTCCCCGAATGGTGTTCTCAGTGTATGTTCAGTCTAATCCATCTCCACTTTCTTCTGTTGTATACTTGTTGGGCGATAGGTTGTTGGTTGGTTGGTTACCAGCCATCCAGCCAGAGTTCGTTGTTGCTTATTCCTATTATTCTGGCCATGTGATTTTGAGTATGGGGTGAGCGTAGTCGGCAGCTGTTGATGATGAATGTCTGTAGTTTGTTGTAAGTGCTTTTTGTGACGCACCAAGTTTCTGTAGCGTATAGGAGAACTGACTTGACTTGAGTTGACGTTGGTGTTTAAAATGCGGATGTTGTTGACGCTTTATGCTGAGTGGAGTGGAGTGGAGTGTAGTAGATGTGCACACTGGTTTCAGGTTAATGCAGGAAAGTCTGTCATGCTGTCTTTGCTATCCTGGTTGACTTAGACATGGTCATCTGTGCCTGTGCCGCCTGTAGTTGAAACGATGCTGCCTAGGTAGGTGGGTAGGTAGGTAGGTAGGTGAAAGAGACAACTTGGTTTATGTTTCTCCCGTTGATGGTGATTGGTGCTTGTTATGGTTGGTTGTTTTTGTTGGTTGGATATGTTCATCACCTCTATCTTCTATGTTCACATGAAGGAAGTCCTGCTTTCGCTGCCTCTTCTGGAGTTTTATTATGCTAAACTGGTATTTCTTCATCATATCAAGAAAAAAGTTTGCATGAAGTAATATAGTAATAAGTTTTCACATATACTTTATCACAACCAAAGAAATCAAGATGGAAATAACGATATTCGTCATATTCAAAGACTATAAATTATATATGGATAACGAATTAGCACACAATGAAGATACTCTTAAAAAACTTGTACCAATATAAAAGTTTATCTTGAAATGTTTTGAAGCAGATTGATATGTAGGATTCAACATAACTGATGCCTAAAATTCAACTTATTCTTGCATCTTAATCAAGTCAAATTGATTGATAGTATATATGTACATCTTGATCTAATCACGTTTATTAAATACCTCAACAATATTCTACTTGTACCTGTTCTTTTTAATGCATTCAAATCAATTTTCATAAATGTTATGATCATTATGAAAAGGATTTTTTGTTTATCACCTCTAGAACATATTTAGAAAATATATCATTAGAACAGATTACTGATTCTTCTTGGAAAATTCGTTTACAATGTACTGAATGTATTCATTCTGTAATTAATTCCAATCCTCCAAAGTATCCTGATGTTCAGTACTTACTACAATTTATGGTTAATAGTGGTACTGTAAAAGATAATATTTTCCGTGTAAGTTATTTACTGATTGCCATTTCATTATTAACATGTTGAGTATTTTTATTCAATCACTTAATTTATTCATTTACAATAAATTTCTAACAAGTTAATAGAAAATGAATTTTTAACTTATGTGTTCATCATCATCATTATCAACATAGGACCAGGCATTACTGCGTAACGGTCCGAATTGCCACACCTCATATCAGCACATCAAGTAAAATGGTAGTGAGGTGAAGGATGAAGATAAGTGAATGCAGTCAAAAGAAATATAAAGTACGAAAAGAAAAGAAAGAGGAGTGACAAAATGGTGTGTTAGTTTTAACATTGACTTCAGTCTACTTGGAGTGTATATTCAAAGTTTTGAATGTTGCTTTTATTAAAAATTCGTCGTATATTCTGAACAATTTGAATACGAAAATTCAAGGATAACTTTTTTGATAATATTAATGAAACACTAGTTTCAAACATGAATTCAGTATGATGTTCTCATAATTTAATTCATTGTATTTACACTGTAGTCTTCTTGGGTATATACAGGGTTGAATGTAATTGTTTGATACTTTGAATTTCCCGTTGTTATACAGGGGCGAATTGCTCGACTTCTGTTGGCATATGGTCTCCAATGCGGAATCGTCAATACTACCGAAAATTCATATTCTACCAACAGAGATCGAGCAGTTCTAACCTATTTGACAACGGGGAATTACGAGTACTATTCAACAACAATTGATGCCTGTTACATAAGAGATAGTTAGTTCTAGTGCTCCTGTGGCCCAGTGGATAATGCTTTAGAGTTTGAAACGATAGGAACTGGGTTCGAGTTTGATTGAGAACAACATCACTCACCTGGGGTACAGTTACATACAGCTGACGAGTCCCAAATAGGACGAAACGTGCGTCCTGAATTCCACTGTTAGTCATTATCCATAATTAATATGTAACTATAGGACAGTTTTGAATAAGTTTCACTTTTTGTTAATATCCGAATGAATTATCATGCGTAAAGTCACTGCAAACCGTATTTTTCATGCATTTGTTTAAAGTGTACTCAACTTGTGCAATTCTGATGTAGCTTATTAGAACAATCAAAAATAAATGAATGTTTTATATTGTTCCTTAGGGTTTTCCATCTTTCTGAGAAAGACCCTTTACTAGAGTATGAATCTGATATTACGCTTCTGAGTTAATATTCAAGCTTGGCACAAATGATGACCTTTTTCATAATTCAATTACTTCCGATGTTTTTAATAAGTTTATTTGTACCAGTTATATTCCTGTAGTTGCGTATAGTGAAATAAAATCTATCATTGAGTACTATTAAATGTGCTTGATACTGATTCTAGAAATTAGTCACCGAAACCCTTTAGATTATTATTATTATATTCAGAATTTTCTCGTTGGTTTATTTTTAGGTTCGTTGTGAAGCCTTAAATATTTTGTCAAAATTATTATCAAAAAATAAATCTCGAAATTGGATTCCTACACAATTACTAGAAACGCTTTGTGATCAGTTATTTACTACAGTCAGTGATTCAAAATCAGGTCCTTTAGTTGAACAAACTCTTCGACATTTATTGAATATTGTAAACTTTTCAGAAATTGTTGAATGTATTAATACAAGTTTAAGGAAACATACTTCTCCTTCAGTTCACGCTTCACTTATTAAATGGTTGAGTTCAGCAGTAAGATCACTAGATGATTCAAGGTAAGATGCTTTATAAAATTATTTGCGCATATATTATCCGACTTTAATTCAAGTTGTTATTCATCGTAGACTGACATCAGTTAAAGGAAGAAAGGAAACCTGGGAAACCCGGTTGCGCTATATCGTGAGCTAACAGAAGTTGGAAATATAGAGCGTTGGATTCTGACCCAGTGGCTCAATGGTAACGCACTGGCCGCGGAACCTGAAGGTTGCGGGTTCGATCCCTGGTGCTTCTGGGTCGCGGGTGCACACTGCTGAGGAGTCTCATACTAGGACGAAACAGCTATCTAGTGCTCCCAGGTTTGCTTTGTTCCTCCAACTGATGTCAGTCTACGATGAATAGCAACTTGAAATATTTCCAAATCTCCACAACTCCCTCAATATTTGAATTCAGTTTGTTGATATCACGGTATCCACTCCCAAATTAAACGGTTTTTGTTGTTCATTATATATTTATGTTAATGGATACTGAGTAGTGAACGGCATAGTGTTGCTCATTGATAAGTGATTTGACACCTTAGCACCATAGAGATATTTTCTAGAAGACTGGAGACTTCGATTTTTTGCATCTTTTGGCGTACAAGCATAGTTTGTTTGTAACTTTCGAGGAGTTCGGGATCACTGCAAGATATGAAAAGGTTTTTTTTATAGCATCAGTGACATCACTCCTAAGCTTCTTGTGTTGTAATTGACTCCTTGCGATATTGGATTAATTATATGAATCGTTCATAGGATTTAGGCGAGCACCAATATAAATTTGTTGGTTAAGGGAAGCCACATATTGTTACAATATTAATGCGTTGAAATTTTTAGTCGCTTATATGTAAGGATGGAACTATTTAATTAGTGTATTGATAATAGCCAATTCCTATATACAACCTCTCTTTGTGTATTTTCAGTTTCGATCATTTATTGCCTATTGAAATCGTAAAATTTGGACTTGCCTCTTCTACAGCTAATGTACGTAGTGCTGCAGTTGAATTTGCTGGTGTTATTTATTCTCGTTTACGTTCATCTGTAAATATTCGTTCATTCTTTGCGTCTGAGAAACCAGCAATGTTACAACGTTTAGAATCGGAGTTCGCAGTTTATGACACACTAGAAGAAAGTAATACATCACAATCAAGTCGTAAAAATGAACAATCAACTTTCTCTGGAATGGAAAATGTAACTCCTGCTGCTGTTGAGGCATGGTCAAATAAACAAAAGAGAATGACAACTGTAATGGGACCTATTTCTCCTTCACTTGGACTTGTAAATGCTCAAGGTGTTCTACAATTTTCTGATTCAGATGAAAGCTCAGTTTTAGAACGAAGTTCGGTACCCTACAGGTAAAACAATATAAATTGTGTATGAAAAGTATGTTTTGTGTCGGTCACCTACTTTATTTTTAACTCCATGTGTTTTACTCTGGAGAGTGAAACTTTTGAAATATTATTAACAGTAAATCATACTTGAGGCATAGTATGTGAATATATTGTTAATTTCTTTAAGGATGTAGTTATATTCACTTGTATTCACTAGGTATGTATTCACTTTTTGGAACACATTCTTTACTATTATAATTATCAGTTATTAAAAGACTTTTAATTACCAGTATTTACTTTAGAGAACCGAATAAGGAAAAATACTTTGAAGTTTGAACAAAAGTAACTAAATAGGATAATTAATTTTGCACTTGGTATTTTAGCCTTCACCTGCTTTATTGACGTAGAATGTTCAATGGTTGCCAAAGCTTCTATGACAAGACTTGATGTCACATATGACTATTATAAAATATAGGGGATTGTAGTTATAGAATACTGCTTAAGAAATTGTATAATATAATTGTTTTTATATCATATCGTCGTTGATTGGACCGAATTGATCGGTTTCTATTGGCATATGCGCTCCTGTGCAGATGCCTCGATATTGCCCGCCTTCTAATAATTATGTGAATGATGGATTGCATAATAATTAGAAGTTAGAATGATATTCTATCAGTTACTTTTGACAACTAAAGTGAAACTGATTTGAAGACATGCCTCAGTTTTAGTTTCTCCTTTTCTATTGGTCCAGCAGAAGGTAAGAAGAAAGTAATTAGATGAAGGGGAAAGAAATTGAATTGACCTAATGACTTATACAGTGTTGGTCGAAGAATATAAGAAATATAGAAGCTATGCCTATGGTTTTAAGTATAGATCCTGGCTATCGTAGAGAATAAGTTACGTTACTTTATGTTTCACCAGATATTTTCTAAAAATTGTTATTGGCACTATTTTAACATTCGAATATTCTCTAACGCGTTCCATCTTGAAAAAAGCATCTTTACTAATATGCAGTTGTGATTAGAAATGTAGTTCGCTCTTCAAAATGAGTAGCGATCTACGATAAGTGTTTATGTTTGATCCCATGGGCCTTGCATTGAAATCTCTCTCTCTCTCTCTAGATTCCACTCATTTTCACAACTAATCATTGATATATGTTTACTGGGTCTGAGTTGTAGTCGCTCATCGTCACTATTAGCATTCTAAAGACTAAGGGAATAACCGAATAACTACAGTTTTTTTTTCAACTAGCGGATACAGCTAAGATGCTAAGTGTGAAGACTATATACTGTTTTAAAGTCTTTCTTTTATTCCTGTTTGGTTATACCTTGATGATACAATATTATTGTCTGAGTCAGACAGCAAATATTCCCGTAATCATTTCCAGTTAGTCTTTAGTATTCTCAACCAACTGTTGACTAGAACCATGTATGAGGTTTGTGTTTCACTATCTTCTAATTTATATTTGCAAGATATATTATGGACTGTTCATTATCGTATGTAATAATTTGTGAAGTGAACTGATCATATAGCTATAGAAATTTTCAGGACAAGTTGGAATAGAGATGATAACACTCTCTTGCACACAATTCGGGAATACAACAAGCAATGAGATCAAAAAAATCAGTAAATTTATTAGTATTTCTCAATGGCATGTGTGGCATTAAAATTTCTATACTAAAGTTTGCTTAATTTTCACTGATGACCCGAATTTTGTTATAAATATAAACTTTTGATATGGTCTTTTTCTGTAACTACTTTACACAAAATGTTAAACGATATAGCATATCGACAACAGTGACCCTTGTAAAGTTGAAGCACTTATTATATCACTTCAGAGTTTCTAACTTAAAAGTCCTGTTATTCCCTATTAGGTTATTATAAATTACAGCAGGCATAGTGTAAGTATCGTGGTGATTATCTGACATGATGGCTTTGGGCAACTACTAGATATATTATTTTAACTATATGAGATAGCCGTGGTTTCACAGACTGGTATTGATACTGCGTGATGATTGGAGGTGAAATGAAAATTTGGGCCTCAGTGGGATTCGAACCAGCAATCATCGTGTTTCCGGCCTGGTGCTCTACAGACTGATCTATGAGGTTCGACTGTTGATTATATTTTATTTCACTTCAATCACCAAGGGTTTTGCGCGACTACTATGTGAATTCGTGACGCGTTACTATCACTTGATCGTACTCACACTGACTGCCCAGCCAGGACTTCTAATCCAAATCCAAGTCTACTTGAATTAGAGGTGGAGTATCATATTGGTTTATCATTTTGACTATCTGCGATATCCATGGTTTGGTAGATTAGTATTGAAACTGGTATTTTTGTGGTAGCATCAATACTGGGGTTTGAATCTCAAACGGGATATCAGTTCCGTCTAGGTTGCAGATGCGCCTTGCTGAAGAGTGCCAGCAAACAGGAAACCTGAGGCCAGGGCGCTCTTCCGATCGCCTCCAACCAACTTACATCTGTTAATGTGCACTGCGATGCCGAGCCTCCTAGCTTACTGGTCACATTTCAAATATGAGCGATACAGTTCAGTCTGCACTCAAGACTAAACATCGTGAAATTAGTTGCTCTCCTGTGAACAATCAAGGCATTTGGCTCTGTCGACCATAAGTTATTGTGTCAATGTCTGACTGTGGACGAAGCGCCGTGCAATTATTTGCCCCTAACCATAACTTTCTACTCGAACTCACACAGTCATCCAAATGGCTTATGGAAGGTTTTGATGTGAATTGCCAACAACTTGTGTCCGCCGGGATTGCACGTTGTCATCGTTCTTGTTTAACTTCGTTATTGACTTAGTAATGGACATAACATTAGTTTAATGATATCCGGGTTCAGAGGAATTGGTCTACTCTATGGTGATCATCTGGTCGACTTGGAGTATACAGAGGACATTGTCGAGCGAGCTGAAGACGCTGACAGAATGTAGAGTGTTGTGAGTGTGGTGAGCAGTAATCTGAGTATGTTTGACTGGGATGGGTTTTGGACCTGTGGAACGTAAGATGATGTTTTAGGGGTGGTGTGTAAAAGTACTGGCAGTTGTAAGATGGGTAGTGAAGTGGTGGAATTTATTGATCACTTTGCATTAATTGTTGAGTTGTGTCATCCCGAAGAAGGTGGTTACTGACTAAATTGGAGGTGGGATGGAGAATGGTTGTTTTGGATTCGTGAGATCGCGTCATCTCTGGCTCCGATCAGAGAGGTATCCAACTATCTATTAAATGATGGGTATACTGCGTTGTAATTGATTTTGTGTTGTTATGCGGCTGAGACAGGAGCGTTAAAAGTAGGATATATGAGATGGTTACAAAATTTTGATTCCAGTTGTCTTCGTAGTATTTCTGTTGTTTTGGTGGAACTAGCGTGAGAGGAATGTTGAAGTTGTTGGGTGAAGGGCACTAGGCAAGTCGATTAACATGGTGATGAGCCTTAGTCGACTGAGATGGCTTTGGTATGTGTTATGCATGCTGAACTGTGACTCACCTGGATCAGCAGTGCTGGTGGAATTTGGATGAGGTTAGAAAGAGAGTTGCGGGTGTTCAGATCAAGATGTAGCAGCGGTGCATAAAGTTTCTGACTGTTGATCTGGACTGTGTGGGGAGATGTAGACTGCCTGGTTAGGGTTGTCGAGAAGATGGGAGTCAGTGGTTATAGACTCTTGGTGTCACAGATGAAAATCGGTCACATTGGTGCAGATATATTCACTTCATGGACGTCTTGTAATGCTTGAATATTTGCACTAGCCTTTATCTTCAAATTGTTTATTATCTCACACAACTTTTTCTACTTTGATATCTCTCCTTCTCTATCCACTTGTTCTTTTTGTGCTATTGTGATTTGTGGCAATATGAAGCGATGCGCTTGTATGCCAGTTTCTACGTTGATTCTATGTCTGTCTGTCATTTCGGTTTTCTGTGTAGTTATTCCTAGGGCTTGCATTTTTTGTTTCAGTTTTCTTCAGTACTTGCAACTCCTATTCATCAATATCTGAAATGATGAATACAGATCGAAGTCACTGCCTTATAAATTGAGCGTTACTCTATTTTAAATGCTTGTTAATTCTGTTTATAGGAAGGGTGTTATTGAGGCTTTAACTCGACAGCCCCCACAAACTGTGGATGATAAATGTAACCAAACCTGCCAGGTAGCTCAGACGACTAGTTCTCTCACGTATGATACTCTTTTCTTTGTCGAGTCGAATGATGAAACAAGTTTGTTACAAACTAAAGAATCACGTTTAGAAAATCTTAAGAAAGTGAGTTTCCTGTATTTTTGTTATTACATCTAATGGATTTCTTTTGTCATAAATGTGTCCAGGTTCACTTTTTCAGTGACCTCTGTTTGTGAGCTTTTGCATCTCTTGTCAATCTCTTGTTACAAAGTCTGGGTTAAACGTCAATGTTACTTGCTTAAAGGTTTTGCGTCAACGAAGCGAAATTGAAATCCACTCGGTAACCCTGTGAAGTTTTGTGTAGTAGGCGATGAGCCACACCTGTTGTGTGCGCGTCAACGATGTTACCTTTCTACCCAAACCTCTCGGTAGTTAGAAGTGGCCTAGTGCTCATTGATTGGAAATCAAGTGCACCCTGCTTTGGTCAACCAAGCGATTCCGTATCGACATCTTTGATTGAAAAGGCTATAAACTACTCATGCAATTGACTTTCATAGACTGTCTCAGTTCAGTAGAACAAAGTTGACTCAGGTATAATTCTCTAGCCGTTTGATGGTGTTTGGTTAGTTATTTTATCAGTGGCGTTGATGAATTACTGATATATTTCAAAAGAAAATTATTTCATCATTATTGTTATCTATTTTGTTTCTCTCTTCTTATCACAAATTCCTAACCACTTACGCCAAAGATACTGATTACCGTAACTAAGTTTTTTTTTCTTAGAGCAGGTTTAATGTTGTTTGTAGAGAGGAAACAGGTTTAAATGGTTGTTTATTGAGATAATTCAAATTCATGAATAATCGTAAACTTGTGATACTCTTAGTCTAACAGTCCCTTTGTTGCACTGTATTTCTCCCTTTCTATCGTCAGTATAAGGAAAATATCAGTAAAGATGAATTACGTCATCTATTTGATGAATGCCATACTCATCCAAGTCTGATGAAACACTTATTCTCTACATCTTATGAAGCTTATCTAGAAGCTCTTGATCGATTGATTGCCTCATTTGATGATAATGATAAATCCAAAATACCATCACCACATATTGTAACATATGCCCATTTTGATTTAATTGTAATATGGATTGTGGAATATTGTTTTGGATCTTGGTTGAAAGATAATATTCAACAGTCTGAATATCAGAATATCAAGGCGGTCTTAACTCGAGGTAGGTTAAATGATGTGTGTTTAAAAGCTGTTTTCTTTTAATTTTAGATTTTTAACTCTCTGACCTTGTTATCAATTTATTCCTGATTTAACAATTTAAGCTTTCATAATATTTCGATGCATCATTTAAAATCTTCTGAAGTATATATAATTCCTCAGTGATGTCAATCTTAATTTTTTTTTTCTGGCAAAACTTGAGAATGGTCCACTGAACGATACTATTAGTCGTTTAGAGTTATATTGTCGTTACATGAATGATACCTTTATAGTTCTTAAAAGTAAGACTGATAAGAATGCTGCTCTGAATAGGTTCAACAGTCTTCACCTGGCAATCAACTTCACAATGGAAGAGGAGAAAAATGATAGTATCCCATTTCTTGATGTTCTGTTGGTAAGAAGGTCAGATGTAACCCTGAAGCGAAGTGTTTACAAAAAACCAATATTAACAGGTCAATATACGCACTTCTTTAGTGCTGTACCCCTCCAATACGAAAGGAACCTAGTGAAATGCTTAGCATACCGTGCCTCAGCTATTTGCTCAGAGGATGCTATAAAGGAAGAGTGTGCCACCATCCGTGATCTGCTTAGTAGGAATGGCTACCTAGACAAGTTTGTAACTAAGCACATGAATATTACGAGGGTTAAGATAACAATGCCAACAGTTCCTAAGAAGCAAATCTTCTTGAAGCTGGAATTTAAGAGTGATATTGCCAGTGAGATCAGCACACAATGCATAAAAAGAGTCTTGCATAAAGCATTCCCAGCCGCTAAATTATCTATCGCCTGCTACAACCGCCAGATTCTAGGTGCAAGAAATAAAGACAAAGCGCCTGATTCGGCCACTTCTATGTGCATTTATCAATTCAACTACTCCTGTAGAGCTAGTTACATTGGGCGTACAATGAGGCAATTCCATAATGGAATTTCTGAGCACCACCCATCATGGTTGAACAAGGCACAAATTAGAACAATAAAGAGCTCCATACTTGCACACTTAGTTGACACAGGACATCAAGTGGTTACCGGAAAAGCCTTCAAAATCATTCATCAGATTCCAATTAATTTACCACATGGAATACGCACTCGTTTACTTCACATAGCAAAAGTGATTGCAATCCACCTTCACAAACCTAGCCTTTGTATCCAAAAGAAGTGTGTTTGACCAATTTCATTACCGTGGCTGTCAACATGATGTAACTTCTAGGTTTATTTTGTGCACCTCTTCCCCTTCTTGTTTCTATCAATATTCATATTTCCAATTTTAGTAACTATGGTTTATTTACATCATTATTTCCGAAACATCACCACGTGATTGGTAGTTTGATTAAATTGTAAACCTATATATTAGTGTAGAGCCCAAGATGAAGACCTAATTGAAAAGAAATGTATTTCTTCGCTCAATCGGTCTTTTTTAAACTTTTTGTCAGTTTATTTAAAGAGAGAAACAGATAAATCGAAGTAAAACTTTAAACAGAAGTGCTTTCGTTCAAGTTGTAGTGAGCGCCATCTATATGAATGTAGTAGCATAATAATATATTGCACGACATTGGTAAACACAAGAAGTGTTAACGATAGACATATAGAGATTCAAGAGAAAAGAAGACAAAATATGGAGTATAAGTATGGGGAGGGCTCAGAACATTGCACACTAGGATACCAAAAGTAAACTGTTTGCTAATGGAACTTTACTTTTTAGCTTAATATCAATACTGATTGTAATTTTCAATAAAAATCCTCTTCTGCTTTGTTAGACTTCTCTTCAAAACTACCATATTTCAAAGTAGCTTCCAAAGAATAAGCGGATAGAAAAGACTGATATTTAACTGGAAAAAAGTTAGAGTAAATGGATTAAGTAAATAAACAAAGGTTAATGAAAGTTTTGGTTGTATTGTATTGTCTGAGCTGGATTGTTTAATCATGAAGCTTTCATCATCCTTCTAGACGACATCATCAGCACTAACTTCAGTTTGAAGTGGGCTGTCAATACTCAGTATTCTCAACGTGTATATATGTGCCACACTGTGACCACCAAGAGTCTCCAACCACTGATTACTGTTATTTCAAGCACCTGAACCACATAGCCTTCATCTTCTCATACAGCTTAAATCAACAGCTGAATTTTCCCAGGGATTGATGTTAGTTCTTGGCCTGGTCGCCTATAACTTTCTTCCAACCTAATCCTATCTCGGATAAAAATGATGCGTCAAGGTACGCGATGGTTCATACCCTATTCTATGTAAAGTTCAACTTGTAACCTTTTCATTTTAAGTCACATTTATTACACTTGAATCCTTAGATTGAAGTGCTATGGTCGACATTCTCTAGCTTCAGGCATTTCTCAATATAGTGACACTGACACTTTGATCTGGATTTCAACTAAACTTACCTTCAAAATTTATTTTTTCCAAATGTGAATCTCTGAAGATTCTATTGTGAATGACTTCGACTGATAACACAAAAACGAAATATTCCATATTATCATGTTGAATATCATAGTGTACTGCTTCTGAACACTTTTCTATGATAAATCAATTCGCATACTTCCTTTTTTAACATTTATTTTACTAAAGTTTGAAAGTTATGAGATTTGTTTGCTGATTGGATTGTAACAGTTAGTACTCATTTTACAGACTATGGTTATCTCGATTCAGTGACTTAACTACATAATTCTCTGGTATTTGGATGTATATGTGGTTTATAACCTTATTCCCAACCTCAAGGCATAAAGCAGTTACATTCAGTAGATAAACTATTATTTGAATTTCTCTACTAAGTTAGTTGCTATAAGCCACTTTAGTATTCAACGAATGGCAAGATTAAGACAGTCGTACTAAGTGGTCTATAAACTTCATCGAAGACTTTGTGAATTAGTGACAAAAAAAATAAAACAAGTCCTTGTATGGTTGCTTGAAGTTGTGCTTCAAGCATTCTTTTTCCACATTCACAAATGACAGCTGCCTCAGGACCCAATTTGTTTTCCATGTATAATAGTGTTATTATAATAACATGCATTCGTATATTATTACTTCGGTTTTTTATTTCCATATAGCATTTGAATACTTGACTGCTGTGATCTCATTATTTGCTCAGAATGACTTAAGATTAAGTCAACACGAAGTGAATATCATTCTTATTCCATTATTGAAATGCCAGTTACAATCTCTCTCTGTATATAAAGATTCAACTATTTACCGTGCTGCATCTGATTTAGTCCATCTTATCCGTCAAGTTTATCCTGCAAGTTTATTAATGGATACACTTGCCAAGTATATGCACCAGTGTGACACTGCAAAAATGCGAGAGAGTAAGTTTTCTTTTCTGTTTTGTGATCATTTTTTAAACGTTTATATTTTATATTATGAGAAGTATCAAACAGCTTTTCAATGTGCTACCTAAGATGAAAATTCATGTGACACTGAGAAAATTAATATTTTAGGCAGATATATCTGTCTTCAGAAACCTCGCCTGGTTAACTAGTTCACTAGTTACTAGCCGGTCCTAAGCCCTGACAAAGAGGGAAGGTTTGGTATAGGACTAGTAACCCTACTCCGTAAAACAAATCTAACCGCTAAAGAAACTTCAAAGCAAAAACGAAATATAGAAAATAATAACAAAATTATTCCTCGCTGGAATCGAAGAGGCGAAATGACGCCAGTTGGTGAATGCCTTCGGGAAGCCAACTGGCCGATGTGTCTTCTCTCGATGAAAGCGAAAGTAAGCGTGGGGACATGTAATGTCCGCAACATGTTTGAACCCAGCAAGGCTGCCCAGATTGCAAACGAGATGAGGAGGTATCACATTGAAGTGCTTGGAATTTGCGAAAGCAGATGGAATGGGAGTGGACTCTCCAAACTGTCAACTGGAGAATCAATAATCTACTCCGACGACAACCACGAGCACACTGAGTTTGGAGTGGCTATCATGATGTCTCCAACAACATCTAAGGCTCTCATGCAGTGGGAACCAATGTCCTCCTCCAGTATCAGGATCATGACAGCAAGGTTCAACTCAAAAGGAAGGAAGGTCACAATCATACAATGCTACGCCAAACACCTACAAATAATGCAGAACAAGAGAAAAAGGAGGAATTCTACAGACAACTGCAATCAACACTGGACAAGACACCACTCGAGTTGGTGATATCAAAATTCTAATGGGCGACATGAATGCCAAACTGGGAGGGGACAACACAGGAAGAGAACTAACCATGGGTCGAGAAGCGCTCGGTGAGGTGATGAACGAGAATGGAGAATTGTTTGCGGAATTCTGTGCACTCAACGATTTGGTGATTGGAGGCGAGGCAGTGTGTTGAAGCACAAGGATACCCATAAAGCGACATGGATTTCACCAGATGGACACACTAAAAATCAGATCAACTTCATCTCAATCTCAAGAAAATGGAGACGCAGTCTACTTGACACAAAATCAAGAAGAGGAGCAGATGTAGGTTCAGATCACTCACTATCTAGTGCAAGGAACCTTTCAAATCAAGTTGAAAGCCTTCAAGGAAGCTGGTGATAGACCGCAGTTTAAGTACAACACTCGGAAACTGAAGGATGAAACTACATAGGAAATCTTCACGTCAGCCATCAAGACAAAATGGGAGATATCGAAGAACATCCTTGAAGAAACCTGTATGGAAGAACACTGGAACTCTTTGAAAGCTATGTGGGAGGAAACCTGAATGACCGTATTAGGAAGGAAGAAGAAAGAAGTCAGGACAAGGAATGGATCTCGATGGATACATGGAAGTTGATGGAGGAGTGAGAGGAGGAGGGTGAGGCATAAGATGAACCAGTGCAAGGATGCACAACGAAAAGATGAACTCAGTACAACGTGTAAAACACTGGACAAAGAAGTGAAGAAGAGTACACGGAAAGACAAAAGACACTTCTACGAAACACTGGCAAGTGAAGCAAAACAGGCTGCAGGCTGATAGGAGAGACCTGACAACATTGTATCAAATAACCAGGTTATTATATGGCAGAGAAGAGATCAACGCAAATGAAACCAATAAAAGATGAAGAAGGAAATTTAATTACGAAAAAAGAGAAACAAAAGAAACAATGGGCCGACCACTTCAAGAAGCTCTTCAATCGACCACCACCTGCACTTCGTCCAGAAATACCACCTACAGCCGCAGAACTACAAGTGAACATTAATCCTCCAACGAAAATGGAAGTCCTGAACGCCATAAAGCTACTGAAATGGGGGAAAGCAGCAGGACCAGATGGGATCGCGCCAGAAGCACTGAAAACAGACGCAGAGACAACAGCGGACATGCTCACACAACACCACTATTGCAGAAGATGTGGAAGAAAGGGAAGGTACCTGCCTATTGATTGGAAGAAGGGTTACCTTGTCAAACTTCCGAAGAAGGGAGACCTCAGTGTTTGCAAGAACTGGCGCGGAATCACTCTCCTGTCCACCCCAAGCTAAATATTAAACCGCATCATCCTGGAGAGGCTTAAGGATGCACTGGATTCAAAACTACGACCGGAACAGGATGGCTGGATTCAGGAATAAAAAATCATGTGCAGACCAAATTGCAACGCAACACTACGCATCATCATAGAACAGAGTATAAAATGGCAATCAACTCTCTACCTCAACTTCATACACTTTCACAAGGCCTTCCGCAGCGTCGACTGACAAGTAATTTGGAAACTGCTTCAATACTACGGAATACCACAAGCCTTTATCAATCTCAATCAACAACTATATGAAGACACCACATGCCAAGTAATTCACAATGGGAAGCTCAATGATGCTTTTAAAGTGGAGACAGGCAGGATTAAAACAAGGTTGCCCATTATCACCCAGGATATTCCTGATTGTGGTCGACTGGATCATGCAACAAACAGTGGGGGGCGAGAAGAAGGGGATACACTGGCTGGACTGCGGACAAGAACCTAGAAGATCTGGATTTCGACAGTGATGACTTGTGTCTGATGTCGCACATACTGGAAGATCTATACGCGAAAACTAACCGGTTGTCAGAAGAGACAGCGAAGACGCGACTTCAAGTGAATATAGACAAGAAAGAGGTGATAAAGATACCGTACCAACAACAACAGCAAACTCCAATCACTATAAACGGGAGAAACTTAAAGGAAGTAACCTCCTTCACCTATCTAGGCAGCACTGTTTCAACTACAGGCAACACAGGCACAGACGAGGATGTCAAATTCAGAATCGGAAAAGCAAGACAGGCGTTCATTAGCCTGAAACCAGTGTGGAGATCTTCTGAACTCAGCATGTGTAACAAGATCTGGATTTTCAACACCAATTCAGTCAAGTCAGTGCTTCTGTATGGTTCAGAGACTTGGCGCGTCACGAAAAGGATTTCCAATAAACTACAGACATTCATCAACAACTGCTTACGCTGGCTCGCTACTGAAGATCAGATGGATTGCCAGAAAGAATAAGCAACAAGGAACTCTGGGAACGAACCAACCAAGAACCTATCACCCAACAAATATGCAGCAGAAGGAAGTGGAGATGGATTGGATTGGGCATACACTGAGAAGGCCGACAGGGGTCATCACGCTCTAGGTCAGGCCCTCGAGTGGAACCCCCATGGGAAGCGACGAGTTGGGTGTCCGAGGTGAGGGTGACATGGAGGAGATGGTGTGAGTAGGAAATGAGAGCTTGTGGGCTGTCGTGGAGCCAGGTTCAAAAGATTTCAGTGAACAGAGTGTAATGGAGACGTGCTATTGAAGCCCTATGTTCCATTAGAAACCCATGGGACTAATGATAGAAATAATAATAATAATCTGTCTTCAGAAGATTTTTCCGTATCCCTGAGTTTTGATACAGTGAGCTAATAAACTCAGTCTTCAAGTAATGACTCACTTTTGCCTGAATATCTATTATTCCTCTCAACTACTGTAAATTCTGTGTTGGGATTGACTTATGTTGTGAATTCTAGATCTCGTCACATTGCTCACAATGTTACAGCAAACCTACAAGTACTATATGTTCTGAGTATATTGGGGAAATAGAAAGCACCTGAAAGTAAATGGAACAGTGATATCAACAGATTAGAATGCTAGACTGAATGCCCCGTCCATTGCACCAAAGATTTCACTGATTCCTCGGTTGACGTAAGTCTTTCAGCATAACTCTTTACATCTATCGACCCACGCCCCCTAAAAACTACTGAATTAAATGTAGGTGGAACATTTATGGAAAGTAATTATATATTAGATCAGTCTCTTTTCTATAGTAATACCTACTAGATGACATTTCGAGCAGAATTTATTCCTCGTAATCATATCAACATAATCACACAACTTTCTGGTCTATTTTTTATGGTTCTAGTATTTTTCATTCTTTGACGTTATTGGTAGCAAAATTTTCCACACGAATCAGTCTATATTACTCTATATATTAGTCTGCATTACTTTTATATTAGTGTATGCACTGAGAAATGTCAGAGTTCAATATTCAAAAATCTTTTTACTAATTATACAAAACAACGTTCAATGGAAATCAGTTTTTTCTCTTACGGTCTGTATTCGAATAAGAGTTTACTTTAACCAATGTATTAGTCAGATACACTGGTTGCAATGCAAAAACATCCCTACTTTCTGAGTTATTAACGGGCAGTGATCTCCCTTTGGTGATCAAGAATATTACCTCAGAATGCGTGTAAGGTCCACATACCTTTCTACTACCTAACCATACATTCCCACTATCATCATAAAATAAACCATCTAGAGTTCAGGAAAACCAGGAGGTGATTAGTAGTTGAAATGTGTTGAATAGCTTTGTGTAAACGTTCATGACCAACTGTCGATGGTCAGATTCGGTTAGTCAAGGTTGTTATTCTTGTAAAGCCCAGTTTTGCATAAAACATTGTCATTGGTCTGAACATTTTTAACCTGTCATTCTCACACCACTTTGACAGCATGACCACTAGTAGTACTTTATTTTATGCCTCCATTGTAGTAATGTAATTCGTTGATTGGTTAATCCTCACTCCTACTCTTACTCTTACTCTTACTATGTCAGTGTCTCAAATTACGGACAAGGTCATATGACGTGTGCATACACAGTCACGTGTTTTTGAATTAACTGATTATCATACTCGAAGGAATAAACTCTCCCATCATCCAACTTCGGCCTTCTTCTCTATTCGTCCCGGGTTGCAGTCGGTGGCTGTTGCGTACGCAGTTAGCTGTCAGTTAAGCGTGTGTATTATATCCGTTCGGAATATATAACACTAATATTGTAGTGAGATCGATTTTCACAAGTTATCTTTCTTCACCCATAGTTGTGAGTCTTTATCTCTGAAATGCATATCTTCCTCCCAATCCCTTAATGAATGGTTTCTCAATAACCTTTAAAATAACAAATCCTTTTTTTCGGTACCTTCTCACAACACTGCCACTCCTATAGATGTCGTACATTTATTATCACCGTCTTACCTGTCATATATTACTCAATATATCAGCAGTAAGTTTTAATATAATCCCACGGTATTTAGAATAGAAAACCAAATCACATTAATAGTGGAATATTCCACTGAAGAAGCTGTGACATACGCAGAGAAACGTCCAGGAAGATCCTGTTTTAGATTTTCTAAACACATTGGGAATTATATTAGGACTTATCTATCTAATGATAAAGGCAGACTTGGCGCCCAAACTCTTCCAGGACATTCGTAACAACTATGAACTGAATGTTTCGCATATATCTTCCACTGCTTCCACTGCCTTAGTATTTCTCCTATATTTCACTTACTCTCGATGATCAGTTGCTCATGTTTTTTCTTGTAGTTTGCCTGAATGAATTACTCAGTATCATACCACGTTTGGTGATCCAAGAGGATTAACTTCACTCAAACTAATTGCACAACAGCTTGCCGACTCAGATCCTGGAGTCAAGAAGTCAGCACTGAATTGTCTGCATGCAGCTTACAATTTCCTAGGTCCTTCATTTTGGCAACATATTGGAAATGTAAGTTATTACCTAGTCATAAAATGCCTATTATTTTTTTGGTGATATTTTTCACTCCACCAATAGTTGATTGTAAATCCGACCACCTGTTAGTGAAAAACAGTAGGTAGTAGTCGTTTTCTAGATCCACTAATGTTCACATTATTGGGACACTAAAGTCGCTCCATACCTCATTTTCTTGTTCTCAAGATTGTTAACCAGTTCTAGTGTCATATAATGGAAGTTAGTTGTCAGGATACCCTAACACCTAGGTTTCATGTTTTGTCAGTGCTTATCAGCAAAAAGACTGGTTTCCCTCACTGATTTTTATCTGCGTAACTTATTGCTGAAATCAAAGACGTAACTATTGAGCTACTGAAGCCACGAATAAATCCATGTAGGACTGAATTCTGTGCACTAGCTGGTCACCAGTAGGTAACCGACTTAACTGTCTATTCTTTGGTACTTACTGAACACTGACTGATCTAAGTCTATCGCTCAGTGACAAGCATAAAACCTAAGTCAAGCAGAACTCTCTACCAATTAATTCTCACTATCTGACAGAAAGATACAGTACACCGCAGTGTCGCGTCACTTTACCTAGTAGCTACCTTGAGAAAGCGAATCGATAGATTTCGATCAGTGCTAAGCACTATAGAATAAACGGCCCCATCCGTGACCAGCTCGTCATAAGGCTTGAACCTCCCTCCATTTGTTGGAACTTTAGATTCCAAATTATGTTATCAGGCATATGTTTGTCTCATATCGTCGTACACGAACAGGTATGCAATTACTGAGTTTTTCTGGTTTGTCATCCACACTGACCACTTTGCCACACTTCATCACACTTAGATTAAATGAAAACAGAAAAACAATAAAAAGTGTGCTGAATATAAACAAACCTTTTGAAAATGGTCTGGAAGATTGTACAATTAAATTTCTCCAAAACAACTCGAAATCTCATTATCAAACCCTTTCAATGAGTGAATATGTAACTCAGACAGACAAGATAAGCGTAAGACGAGGCATTACTGCGTAACGGTCCGAATTGCCACAATTCGTATGAGCAAATCAAACAAGAAAGTACTGAGATGAAATAATGAGGAAGAAAGTAGTCAAAACCAGTGGGAGGTCATCAAAAGCGAGTAACGAGTAATGAGAGAGTATTGAAATTCAGTATGACAATTAACATGAGGATAATTTATGGATACATCTACGCAACTAGAACTAATTCTCAGCCATGTCATCTAGACTCTCCAATCACTTTTCATGTTATCCTGTGGATCCCAACCCGAAGTTTGAATTCCCCTACATGCCTTTAGACTGATAGTCAAACATGTCAGGGACTGATGCCATGTTTTAGCGTGACCGTCCTTAACCTTTATCCAGCCTGAAACTATTGCAACCAGCATCGTGCAACAAGGAGGGTGGAGACTAGACATGCGTAGCACATGTCTCAAGCCACCTGATGCTACCTACCCTATAGAAAGAGGTTAGAAAGGGTTGGCCCCAAAAAGCACACTTTTGTCTGCCCTGCAGTCTTCCAGTGCCTGCAGTATGGGTTTTTCCTATCCAACGTTATTATTATTATTATTCGTCGCTTGGGTTCCTAGTGGAATATTGTGAGTGATTCGGTAGCACGTCTACACTTCACTCTCTTCTCTGTAGTCTTTCCGACCTGGCTCCACGATTACCCACAAGCTTTCATTTCTTCCCCACACGGTCTCCTCCATGTCATCCTAGCCTCAGACGCCCAACTCGTCGTTTTCCATATGGGTTCCACTCGAGGGCCTGAACTGGTGTGGTGCGTGATGTCCCCGAATGGTGTTCTCAGTGTATGTTCAGTCTAATCCATCTCCACTTTCTTCTGTTGTATACTTGTTGGGCGATAGGTTGTTGGTTGGTTGGTTACCAGCCATCCAGCCAGAGTTCGTTGTTGCTTATTCCTATTATTCTGGCCATGTGATTTTGAGTATGGGGTGAGCGTAGTCGGCAGCTGTTGATGATGAGTGTCTGTAGTTTGTTGTAAGTGCTTTTTGTGACGCACCAAGTTTCTGAAGCATATAGGAGAACTGACTTGACTTGAGTTGACGTTGGTGTTTAAAATGCGGATGTTGTTGACGCTTTATGCTGAGTGGAGTGGAGTGGAGTGCAGTAGATGTGCACACTGGTTTCAGGTTAATGCAGGAAAGTCTGTCATGCTGTCTTTGCTATCCTGGTTGACTTAGACATGGTCATCTGTGCCTGTGCCGCCTGTAGTTGAAACGATGCTGCCTAGGTAGGTGGGTAGGTAGGTAGGTAGGTAGGTGAAAGAGACAACTTGGTTTATGTTTCTCCCGTTGATGGTGATTGGTGCTTGTTATGGTTGGTTGTTTTTGTTGGTTGGATATGTTCATCACCTCTATCTTCTATGTTCACATGAAGGAAGTCCTGCTTTCGCTGCCTCTTCTGCCAACTTGTTAGTTTTCGCCTGTACATCTTCGAGTTTGTGCGACATCAGACATAAATCATCGGCGAAACCCTAGTTTTCTAGGGTCTTTTCGTCGGTCCAGCCAGCATATGCCCCTCTTCCCGCTCCTCATAGTTTATTGCATAATCCAGTCCAACACAATCATGAAGATTACGGGTGATAGTAGGCGGCTGCTCCGTCCTGCTCCTGTCTTCACTTCAATGGCATCACTGAGGTTTCCATTGTGAATCACTTGGCATGTGACGTCTTCATATAGCTGTTGAATGATGTTGATAAAGATTTGTAGCACTAAGACCGTAGTGTTGAAGCAGTTGCCTGCCAAATTACTTCTCGGTCAACACTGTCAAAGGCCTTTTCAAAGTCGATAAAGTTGAGGTAGAGAGTTGACTGCCAGTCTATACTCTGTTCTATGATGATGCGTAGCGTAGTGTTGCGATTTGATCCACACATGACTTTTTATTCCTGAATCCAGCCAGCCAGCCAGACTGTTCCTGTCGTAATTTTGAATCCAGAGCATTGTTTAGTCTCTCCAGGATGATGCAGCATAATATTTCGCTTTGGGTGGAAAGCAGCCTGATTCCTCACCAGTTCTTGCAAAGGCTTAGGTCTTCCTTTTTTAGGAGTTTGACGAAGTACCCCTTCTTCCATTCTGCAGGTAACTTTCCTTCCTTCTAAACCTTCTGCAGTAGTGGTGTGAGTATCTCCTCTGTTGTCTCTGCGTCTGTTTTCAGTGCTTCTGATGTAATCTCATGTGGTCGTGCTTTTTCTCGGATTTCAGCACCTTCATGGTGTTAACCATTCAAATTACATACCAACAGTCCTTCAAAGGTAGTATGTTTTTTGACCTCAAGCAGATGTCTAATGTGCTCTTCGTTGAAACAAATCCATTTCTTCCTCTCTCTTTCTCTTTCTCTTTTTCTCTCTCTCCCCCTCTCTCTCTCTCTCTCAGGTGCCCTATAGAAACAACTTCCATGATGTGGGCAGTCGGGAAGTGTCAATCGCACATAACCTCTACTTCCTATTTCTGTCTCGTACTTTGCCCTCACTTCCTGATGCCTACATTACGCATCTTACACCTCTCTTAACCTCTCACTCTTCCAACATTACCAAAGATTCTGTCCATCGAGGCTTCATTCCTAGTATCCTAAGAACCCACCACCGATTTCATATTTGAGCTTTCAGCATCCGAATACTGTGCCATATCGGACAGCAGGTATATCTTATTGGTTATGCAGAATCTCAAGCCATGTATGTGTGCTGTGTTTCTGAGACACGTATGCGGGACAGTGAGGTTATTCATCATTTGACCTCACATGGCCACTGTGATAAATATTGAAAATTCGCCTTGCGAGTATCCAGAAACTCAATGGCTATCTCGTGGACTCGCTGTTGTAGGAAGGGAGGCATGACATTGGGTAATACAGCAGGATACCAGTAAACAGCCACCTGTGTGCTGTTCGGCTGAATTGATCTGTAAGAACTGAAAAAAATCATCATGCTGGGCGATGCCTATTGGTGGTCTCTGCCTACGCACCCAGTGACTGGGTTTCGGATGATGCAAAGGATGAATTCTATGAAAAGTTGTCAGTTTCGCTACAGAAAGCAAAACGTGTAGATATAGTTATAATGGCAGGTAACTTAAACGCCCAAATAGGCACGCTTAAGCAGTTAGAAAAGCATCTGGGAGGTGTCTATGGAACCTCATGCCAACGAATCGACAGCGATAAACCTATCTAGCAATTTCGTTCCGATAATCACTTGTTTCAGTCCAGCACTAACTCCAAGCATAAGGAGAGGTGCTGTCTCACATGATGTCCGCTGACATCAAACCAGTGATCGACGCAGATATATCATATTTCTACAAGCCATCGGTGGAGATAGGCAAGCGTTTATCTGAACGTGATAGCAATGTTCCTCCTAGGGGAAACCTGGTGTAATACTGAGTCTCCTGTAGAAACAACGGTAAAGGGAGTTGGTGACCTACATCCAAAGAAAAGACGGCATTTGAGTCTGTTGACTGTGGGGTATTGCGTCAGTATCTGACTGTGGACGAAGCGCCGTGCAATTATTTGCCCCTAATCATAACTTTCTACTCGAACTCACATAGTCATCCAAATGGCTTATGGAAGGTTTTGATGTGAATTGCCAACAACTTGTGTCCGCCAGGATTGCACATTGTCATCGTTCTTGTTTAACTTCGTTATTGACTTAGTAATGGACATAACATTAGTTTAATGATATCCGGGTTCAGAGGAATTGGTCTACTCTATGGTGATCATCTGGTCGACTTGGAGTATACAGAGGACATTGTCGAGCGAGCTGAAGACGCTGACAGAATGTAGAGTGTTGTGAGTGTGGTGAGCAGTAATCTGAGTATGTTTGACTGGGATGGGTTTTGGACCTGTGGAACGTAAGATGATGTTTTAGGGGTGGTGTGTAAAAGTACTGGCAGTTGTAAGATGGGTAGTGAAGTGGTGGCGCCGATCAGAGAGGTATCCAACTATCTATTAAATGATGTGTATACTGCGTTGTAATTGATTCTGTGTTGTTATGCGTCTGAGACAGGAGCGTTAAAAGTAGGATATATGAGATGGTTACAAAATTTTGATTCCAGTTGTCTTCGTAGCATTTCTGTTGTTTTGGTGGAACTAGCGTGAGAGGAATGTTGAAGTTGTTGGGTGAAGGGTACTAAGCAAGTCGGTTGATAAGGTTGTGCACTTCCACCGATTATGATGGTTTCGTGTATATCTACTTTGTCTAGAAATAGCCTGAATTATGTATATGTGGACGCTTGTACAATAACCTTTAGATCCCACCCTTAAGAGTCGCTCATTTCCTCCTTAGCGGAAAAGGAGGTAATATAAGAAATGGTGTATTAACAATGTCAACGTCAATTTCAAGAATATATGCAAACTGCGAGGTCTATGTATATTACAATAACCTTGGCTATTTCCAGACTTTTCTGCACTTAAATCCTATTGATGTTTCATCTCTTCAATTTGATGCTTACACGTTGAAACACGTGTTTTTCCCGAAACTTCGAAGCAAAGCGATTGGATGAAAAAAAGCTTTAGGCATATGCAGCTTCTTATGAGGGTTTGGTCAATCTTTCGAGACACTGTAATAGATGGCTTGGATATGTATGTGCATGCCGAGCCACCATCCACCTCTCTATGCAATACTGGTGAAAGTTGGATGAGGTTGGAAGAGAGCTGAGGATGCCCAAACCAATATGTAGCGCTAGTGCATGAATTGCCTGACTGTTGGTCTGGACCGTGTTAGGTGTAGACTGCCCTATGTTAGGGTTACCGAAACGAAAGGAATCAGTGGTTGTGAACTCTTTGTGACAGCTTTTGAAGCATGAATATTTGCATTAACCGTTATCTTCAAATTGTTTATTCCCTCACACCACTTTTTCTATCAGCTTGTTTTTTGTATACAGTTGTGATTTGTGACAAATGGAAGCGATTCACTTGTTTTTGTACGAATTTCTACCTTTATTTTGTTTGTCTGTTTGTTTGCTTGATGCTAATTAAGTTGATGAGATATATAATCCTTGAATTAATTAGTTTCTGATGATCTGATAATAGCTGAATGACTGCAACTCCCAAAAAACATTTTTGCTTGTTGAAACTGGCACTACGATTGACGAGGATTCTTACTTATAAAAATTGTTGCTACAAGAGTATATGATTGAAGTTGAAGAATACAACTGTATGTTTGTTAGATATAAATAGTATGCAGAAAAATTTAACACCATTTTGTACTGACAAAGATGTTACATTTTGACATATTGCTTACTGATAACCAGAATCCACTAAATCCTTGTTACCTAAACTGAAGTTGTAGTTTTGATAAGATGCTAACACTTTGTTTCTTATACTGACTGTAAACTAATGTTTAATAATACACATTTCTTTTCTTTTATACCTGTTTTATAGTCGCCAAGTTCCATTTTAACCTTGATGCTTTACATTCCACTAGTGTATATTTTGTTTATTTGTACTATGATGACCAGTAAAACACAGGAAAAATAAAGAGATTTTTAAGATTCTGAACCAGGAGTAGTAACATTCTTCGTAGTATACAATGCCAGCAACCCATTATAAAATCCCTGCTTCGAACCATTTTATTATTTATTATTATTAGTCCCTTGGGTTCCTAGTGGAACATAGGGCTTCGGTAGCACGCCTCCAGTGACCTCTGTTCTCTGAGATCTTTTGAACCTGGTCCCACGACAGCCCAGAAGCTCTCATTTCCTCCTCGCACGACCTCCTCCATGTCACCCTTGGACGTCCAACTCGTCGCTTCCCATGGGGATTCCACTCGAGCTACTGGCCTGACGCGTGATGTCCTCAGTCGGCTTTCTCAGTGCATGGCCAATCCATCTCCACTTCTTCCTGCATATTTGTTGCGTGATAGGTTCTTGGTTGGTTCGTTGCCAGAGTTCCTTGTTGCTTATTCTTTCTGGCAATCCATCTGATCTTCAGTAGCGAGCCAGCGTAAGCAGTTGTTGATGAATGTCTGTAGTTTATTGGAAATGCCTTTCGTGACGCGCCAAGTCTCTGAACTATACAAGAGCACTGACTTGACGTTGGTGTTGAATATCCGTATCTTGTTCCATACCATACCATACCATACCACTCATATATTGGTTTGTACATTATCATTGATCTATTTTTTGTTATCATAAACAAGTTACTTCTTCATATACTCAATGGAAAATTATTATTATATGGTTCTTATATATTATAAAATAAATTTTATTCAGCTTCCAGAACGAGATAAAAAGTCGCTTGAACAATATCTATCATCCGAACCTCAACTTACTTCACCTACCTTAGATAACTTTGAAGGGTTTGAAACAGAAACACCATCTAAATCGTGTGTTATAAAGAATGCACAACTATCTGCATCTCATACACGAAGCCTTGTTCGGTGAGTTTCTTGTCTTCTACTTAAGTCTACGTTACACATATGATTTATGAATCTTCCCATTAAAAATACTTGTCATATTTCATCATAATTTGTTTCCTTTCAAAAAATATGGTTTTGTTTTAACGTTGGATTATTGTGATTAGTTTAGAGATAATGAAACCTTAAGTCATATTTCTACTTTTTCTCTGCTTTTTGGTTTTTGCACGTTATGAATTGATGATGATCTTGACCAGTAAACTGTAGGTTTTCTTGTGAAACTTAGGAAAAACGCATCAACAACTATTTCTATGCTTTTAACGTTGAATTTTCATTTATCACTGTTTAGTTTGTATCAATGAGCAGTGCTCAGTGTTTTCATGTTATCTCTAAGACCTCTTCAGGTCGTTTAATATCTGTTACACAGTCACATGAGTAACTAAATAATCGTTAGGGAGATCAATTTACAGAAAATCAGTGTGGAATAGTCAACTGGCGAACTTTCATAACTGGGTCCCTATGAATCGTAAACGAAACCAGATCACATCTCTTGCCATTTGCGTTAGACGAATGTGCCATCTTAATGTGTTAGAAGAGGAAATTTCTGTTCTAAAAAACATCCTGGTTGAAAACGTATTCCTACCACGCTTTATGGACAAAAATATCAAGTCTAAACCTAGCAAAGAGAACCTTACCACCATACCAAAAAAGACACTATATAAATCTAAACTTCAAAGGTGATTCTACCTCTGAGAGTCTAAAAAAAGAGGATATTGAACGCTGTAAGGAGAACATTTTTTGCATCAATGCTGAGACCAGTATTCTCTTGTTGCCCAACGATATCTAACAACCCAAAGGAGAAACTTTTATATCTGGCCACTTATATGTGCATATATCAATTCACTTGCTCTTGTGTGGAGCCATGTAAATAGGTCGTTCAATGCGACTGTTATACAAAAGGGTTCAAGGACAATATCTCGCGTGGTTACAAAGAGGCTACAATGGAGCGATATGAAGCGCTATGATTGAACACATCGTGAACTCGAATCACGCTGTCTGAAGAACTTCCTAATTCAAAGTCGTCTACAATGTAAAAAGAAACCTTCCAAAGGCTGTATGTCTTTGTATTCTCTGCATCGCCAAAGCTCTTGCCACCCATACGGAGAAGCTTGAACCGTGTACTGGAAAGAATATTGTTCAACTCCTCCTTTCTGGTCTTAGTTTTCAGTCTTTTGGAATCTCCTCTAACTGTCTCCCCCCCCCCGCCTCTTTCCCTTCCTTTTTTCGATTTTGACACAGTTCATTCCCCAAGTAATTTGCTATTCATTCTTGTTGCTATGCTGTGCCTTATCACAACTCAGTTTCCAATTGTGTCATCATGTTACGAAACTGCTTGATTAATATTCATTACTCATGAATTTTTGATTTTAATGATACTTCATTTATAGACACTTTATGTTACTATATTGACAGACTGTCAAATCTTTACACTAGAAAATGTATAAATTTTCAATTGTACGTTTTGAAAATGAAATCGCTGAAAAGAGACTCTTCACTGATATACTTGTTCTTCTTTCATATTCTGATGGGTATATTTCATACATTGAAATCGTTCGTAATTGTGTTTAAACACCACAAATGTTCAGGTTTATTTAGAAAATGTTATCATCGGTTGTGTGTTGCTGTAAACGTCTGTAACGGTAACATCAAAACTGCTCATGAAGTCTAATTTTTGGGAAGTACAGCATGATGATATGTATTGAAGTTTTTCACCCATTCAGCTTTACACTCAGGTCTTATGTTGCATATTTATTGACTTATTCATCAAGTTCATAATGCTGTTTCCATTCCAACTATGAGTTCTAAATTGACCAATGTATCAAATTCTTGACGTAGAGTTATAACTATATTGATGGTTATCAATAAATTTATATGAATTGACAAGAATGCAGTGTTAATTAAGTGGTATTATTCCACTCTGAAGGCGAATTTGTTGACCATTTTGAACTGGTAGACAATAAGCTCAGTTATGCATACACCAGTGAAAAGTCATTAGCTATCTTCTGACCTTTGACCTTACTCTTTACTCACTGTACATTTTTAGCTTTAAAATCTCGATCTATATTCTCTTGAGTTCTAGTCATTTTTATAGGGAACAGTTTTTTTCAACTCAAAGATACTATGCTATTCGTATGTAACTAATACCTTGAAATTCTTGATCTTTTTTAAGTTTTTTGGATTGTAATAAGTCGAGTCCAGGTAGTCAATTTTTTCGTTCTTATGAGTTCTAATAACTTATCCATACCACACTATATCGTATCCATATTCAGTCTTCAGTCTCTTATCCCCTGTGCAAACAATATCCTGATACTTCATAACACATTCCAGTTGTCTTGTAAATGACGTCAGTACTCATCATCACTTCGTAAAGGATCCGTATCTCAATTCGTTATTTCTTTGTAGCAATATAGGCAACCAGCCAACTAATCTGTTTAAGTTGATGTTTCTATATTTTTGCAACATTGTGATTTTCATCTAAAGATCTGGATAAAAATTATGTCACGTTTAGTTGCAGCATTCACAGAAGATTGGCATCTTAGTGGGGGTTACGTTCATTAGTTATATAGTGAATGGTTTACGGCTAAAATCGCACTGTTTCTACTTAAGAAAAGGATGATCAATTTGCAAATAATTTACAAATTCCACCGTCCATGTTGACATTTCTCACAGTTAAATAGTTTTTCAACTGCTCATCTGTGGTATCAACAAAGTTTTCACTGAAAACCACTCAACTGTGATCAAAACGTGTGACCCCTGATACAGAAGTGCCAGGAACTAACGAAAGATATTACTACTGAACAACTTGAGTGGTTTCCAACTGCTCAAGTTGTTTAGTAGTTATATCTATCACTGTTTCTACTTCTTCATTTATTTGGTATGATTGCTCGATTACCATTGTAGTGAGAGGGACGTATTTCATCTAATCAGCTCTTAATATTCATTTTAGTGGATGATAGTGATGCTGATGTTTTATTTGCCTGCATTATTCTTCTGTGTCCCGAAAATAACTCTTGATCCATTAGAAACTGACTTTGTCGTCTCATGTCTATGGTGTATATACTCGTATGATTTAATCGTCCAGTTGTTTATGTGAATGTTGATCAATTGTATACAAGGTCAAGTCAAATTAGGGTATAGATGACTTCCCTTGATAAACTAGCAGAATATATTATATGCGTGTAGATACCAGTTTTCAGAAATTATAAGGAAAGTAGGATAGAGCCATATAAATTTTCAATCGAACACATTTTGGTTTGTATTAGATTTTATAAACTAGTCAGCGTTAGTGACTTTATACGTAGACTGTGTACAATCGAAAACACCTTTTTAAGGTAGAAATCTAATGTATATAGATAATCCACCGTATACCTGTGCCTTTTTTAACCTTTCAGTTTCAAAAAACTCCGTAGAAGTGACCTACTTCTAGACTTTGTTGTGTATTAGAAATGAATTGGTAGTATTTGTAAGCATTTGTATCCGTTTTTCCAGGTGAATCCATGACCCAACCTCTGTATTAAATGGTGTAGTTACGATTTGCTTTGGAACCTTATGATATTTAAAATTCATATTACTGATTAGTCATTATATCGGACACAGCAATTCAGTTTCCATTATCACTGTGACTGATGTTGATATACTTTAATGAGAAGTAAACTCATCAATGAAATCGTTGTATGTACACATTCAGGGATCGAGTAATATTCACTGGTCATTTGATTCGTAACTGAAAATTGTATTCATTATTTCCTAACTTCATGTTGATTTGCAGCATACATCTTTTTTACTGTTCTTACTGTCATCATTACTGTTTTGTTGTTTATATTTCAGTACTGATCGACCTGCCAGCCCACCTCCTCTTCATATGTCTCCAGCTGAACCTTCCTATCTATTGCCACTAATTACTGCTCGTGACAATCCCTTTGCAACTGAGTCAGAAAGAATATCAGCATCAAGTCAACTTAACGCAGCTTTATCTTGCTTAGTTGATCAGTTAGGTGGTTGTGTGCCTGATTATCCTGATCTGGTTAAGAATATTGTCCCAGATGACAAAGATTGTATAGATGAGAATGAGGATCGGTCATGTTTCAATAATGTCGTCCTTGGAGCACTTATCGATTTAGAAGTCCTCATTCGAGGTATATTTTTGTATTTTTATTATCAGTCCTACAAATTTATATGAAATACGTTAGACGGCTATCATACGAACTCATCTTATTTTTATTCTATCTATGTAAATAGATGAACTGATAAATCCTAAATATTCAGTATCCGTTAGATTCGTCTTCAAAGTGTCTACGGAAATTTATTTCAGATTTTACTCTGCCTACTTTCTGCATTCAAAAATTTATCTTCAAATTAGAACCCTTAAGTAGCTTTGTCTTCGTGATTACCTGTTTTGCATAATTGAGTAGCTCCGTTTCATGTATATATATCTATAACCTCGCCTGGTTAACTAGTTCAATGGTTACTAGCCGGTCCTGAGCCCGGATAAAGAGGGAAGGTTGGGCATAGGAGCTAGCAACTCTATCCCGCAAAACCAATCCAATCGCTAAAGGAACTTAAATGCACAAACAAAATATAAAAAATAAAAATAAACTTATTTCTCCCTGGAATCGGAAGGAGGAAATGACGCCAGTTGGTGAAAGACTTCGGGAAGCCAACTGGCCGATGTGTCTTCTCTTCTCTCGATGAAAGCGAAACTAAACATGCGGACATGGAATGTCCTCACCATGTTTGAACCTACCAAGATTGCAAAGGAGATGAGAAGGCATCGCACTGAAGTGTTGGGAATTTGAGAGAGCAGGTGGAATGGAAGTGGACTCTCCAAACTGTCAACTGGAGAATCAATAATCTACTCCGATATTGTCACCCAGACGACAACCACGAGTACACTGAGTTTTGGAGTGGCTATCATAATGTCCCCAAGAGCATCAAAGGCCAGAAAGAATAAACAACAAGGAACTCACTGTGACTGGCAACAAACCAACCAACAACCTGTCACTCAACAAATATGCAGAAGGAAGTGGAGATGGATTGGGCATACACTGATAAGGCCAACTGGGGACATCACGCTTCAGGTCAGGCCCTCGAGTGGAACCCAGATGGGAAGCGACTGGTTGGGCGTCCGAGGTGTGGGTGACATGAAGGAGATCGTGCGAGGAAAAAATGAGACCTTGTGAGCTGTCGTGGAACCAGGTTCAAAAGCTTTCAGAGAAGAGAGTGCACTGGAGGCATGCTACTGAAGCCCTGTGTTCCCCTAGAAACCCAAGGGACAAATTATGTATATATATATATATATATATATATATATATATATATATATATATATATATGATTAGTTGTTTCCTCTAATTGTTGTGTCGTTGACTGCTTAGATTTTCTTGTTGAATGTTTCTCGTCCCGACCTCTGATCTTGTAAGATATTTATCGCTTTCCTTATTAATTGATGATAACGGTTCATATCTGTACATCTATTAATTACTGACTTACCTGAGTGCTAAGCTTCTAGGGATGCTCTGATATTCTTCGTGTTTTCTATGTCCAAGATTTTCACATTTTTAAAATTGAATTCATGTCCACAGTTATCTACATGCATTGATATGAACGATGAAATGTTCCACCCAGGGTGGAACCGAAACCATTAAAAAGACTGAAAAATAGGAACAACATCGTCATATAAAGGGTGCATCACTTAAGTCATGGACAAGGAAAGCTACATCAAGAAGGCGGAGGATTTACTCAAATACGAAAATGTGTATCAACCACTTGAAACCTGCCCTATCCAAAAGTTCGACAACCAAATCATCAAAACCTTGAACAAGTTCGTTAAAGCAGGAGAAATAACAAAGCAAGACAAATAGCGAATGAAATTGAATGAACTTGTCCTTCGTCGGTCTTACGGTAAACCAAAAATATACAAACCAAACGTCCCCCTATGACCAATAATCTCACTTCTGAGAACCGCAACTTACAATCTATCCAGAGAGCTTTCGAGGAAACTGAAATACTCTGTGGAATCATGGAGACATTCCATCAAGTCACCGACGGAATTCTTGAAAAGTATTAAAGGCTTTAATATAGAAAACGAAGAATTAAAGGTGTCCTTTGATGTCACAGCAGTATACACATCAATGGAACCATAACTAACTAGCCAGGGATGTTCTTTCTCCTCCTCGCTGGAGATGAAAGTCTTTCAGAACGTACTAAACTTCAATATTCAAGTCTGATGGAAATCGTTGATCTCTGTGTATCAACATGCTTCCAATTTAATGGCAAAATATACAAACAGGTAAAAGGGACTTCAATGGGGTCACCTATATTCGGGTTAATATTGCAGAAGCAGTGGTGCAGAAACTGGAAGCCATTATTTTTCTTGTGATCAAACCAAAAAAATTGATCTACTTCGTGGACTGTGCTTTGGTTGTCAATAAAAAAAGATGATTTAGAAGACACTCACAATTTGATTAACAACATTTTCAACGACATGAAACTCACAGCGGAGAAGGAGCCGGACAACCAACTGTCAGTTGAACCCATGCCAGAAAACTGGGAACTCATATGTACGGAAAGAACACACCGCAGTGCAACAGCGTAATGAATAAACGAAGAAGATTAGTTGATTTATATCTTAAAGAAGAATGGTTACCCACAAAACGTTATCAGAAGATATCTATCCCGCTCATCATCAACTGCAAAGTCATCGACATAAGCCATCAAACGGATCATCCTAAAGAATATAACAGAGATCATGACATGATTACTGAGACCACTTGTGATTGACCTTCTGAAATGACCTATCATATTTTTTCATTTCTAGCCGAAATCTGATTGAATATTCCAGTGTCTATTAGAGTAACCTTTAAGGTCGCTCAACTATGATACTGCCATATGATTATAGCTCTCCATACATCTTACTGTCTTAATATATCTGTACTTACGTATGCTTTTCCTACGCTTATATATCACTGACTGAATTGAGCACAAGACTGAGATATTTGAAACCCTCTTACTAGGTGGGCAGCTTATAGATTCTTACAGCAAATTCACAAATGTAATGCAAAACGAATCGGGTTACAAAATGCTGGAAATAGGTAACTGGTAATTGACCATTGCTTTTTCACTCTGAGGCATAAAACAACAATAGACAAGTTGGAAATGTTTCATAAAACCGGTTATAAAATATTCGGATCAACGGATTTCTGAATAAATTGTCTTTTCATTCAACAATGGTTAAGATGTACTTGCATCTTCCTGTGTTTGCTTTCTTACAGCAGTTAACAGACTCCAATTTATCCGGGACGAGGTTGTCTAGGCAATATTCTTTATCTTTATGGAGTAAGCTTGCGTTACAGTCGAGAATATACGGATATATTCTGCTGAAAAAGCTGTGGCTTGCACATTGGAACGCTCAAAAATATCGTGTTCTGATTTTCTAAACGCGCTTTGATTATACTGAAATATATTCTCATAATGATTCGAAATAGATATGTCTATTGAGTTGCATATTTTCTCTTTTCTGTAAACAGTAGCCTTTCAATTGGTTTTTAACTGAAGACCATTTTGACAAGATTGTTTAACTCTGCTTATTATCATTACAGAGATCGGTTAGGCTCCTCATTTGATGATAATTAAAACAATTCTGAAGAATTTCGAAACATTTTCTAGACGTTATCTGACGTGCAACTCCAGTTTACTTAGTAGGGAATATTGAAGCCTAATTTATGAGTTTATGTTTGTTTGGCATTCCCTCTTTTCTGATTTTCCAATAAATGTGCATGTTTTTTGTATCACTGCTGTTATTCGCCTAACTTTTATGAAAAAATTTACTTTGAATTTCTGTTCTCATGAATTAGATTCAAAAACAAGAGACTTACTCCCACCCTTTATGCCTAAGATCATTACTCAGTTGACGTTACTTTGCAATCATTTGTACCAGTCTGAAGCCAATGCAGGGCAGGCCATTTTCTTGGATTGTTTAAGCGGTGAATTGATATGTGTAAGTTTTCTTAGAAAATTTCTTTTGTGTGTACTTCATTATTGTCGTCCATTTGCATTAATTTTATCGTTATGAAATCAAGTAAAAGGAGTGCTATTGTTTTGAGTCCTAGTAGTTCAAACATTTAACTACCCATTACTTCATTATATGTCACTCTCACTTATTCGATCTTCATAACCTCTATTAAAATCAAAATAATAGTAATAATAACAATAGCTTTATTCCAATCAGCACGTTTGAGACAGTATCGAGTTCTCAGCATATAGTTGTTATATATTTCGAACGGATATAATATACACGCTTAACTGACAGCTAACTGCGTACGCAACAGCCACCGACTGCAACCCGGGACGAATAGAGAAGGCCGAAGTTGAATGATGGGAGAGTTTATTCCTTCGAGTATGATAATCAGTTAATTCAAAACACGTGACTGTGTATGCACACGACATATGACCTTGTCCGTAATTTGAGACACTGACATAGTAAGAGTAAGAGTAAGAGTAGGAGTGAGGATTAACCAATCAACGAATTACATTACTACAATGGAGGCATAAAATAAAGTACTACTAGTGGTCATGCTATCAAAGTGGTTAAAAATGTTCAGACCAATGACAATGTTTTATGCACAACTGGGCTTTGCAACAATAATATTTCAAAAAATTCGCTCCGTGTACAATATTTTTTAAAAAGAAATAAATAGGTGAATGATCTCAGAGATCTGTCTAAAGAAGAGAAACATGGAGTGGACAATATCTTCATTTCAGCAGTCTCTGTCATATAATTTAACTATAATTTTGTTCATCGGAAAAACTGACTGAAGATATTCAATTCAGCGACAGATGTCTGAACGAAAGTGGTAATTCCTAAGAGATTTATTGATAAAGTCAAAATGAGAACAGCCGAAACAAGTGGACTTCATAATCCCGAGAAGAAATCTGTGTTCCTCCATCTAACTTTCAAGGGGGACGGACTAACGAACCTGGCCAATAAAAGAATAAGAACAACACCAAAAGGTGTTCACTACAATAATCGAAAGTGGGCAGGTTTCCACCTCATGTCACATCAAATTGTATTTACTAATTCATAATGTACATTGGAAGGACAGAGAGGAGGACTGAGACTAGATTTTGTGAACACATTCCAAATAAGTCTAAAGGAGCCAAGGTGTCTTAAAAGTTCCACTACTAAACATCTGATGGACACAGGACACGGCGTCCGAATCACAAAAGCATTTAAAATATCCAACAAACAAAACAATGCTGAGATTCACAGAAGCGATTGCCATCAGAAGAATTAAGCCGAACTTATGCTTTCAAAAAGAGGTAGTTGTTAGCCTCGAACTTCCATGGTAGCCATTAGTTCTTTTCCTCATTCAGTATAACCCCTTCCGAAATTCTGTATTTTATTCCCTTTTACAGCCTCTTTCATCCCCTTTAGTTTACTACTTAACTTTAAGCCATGCAAGAAGTCTTGACCCTATATTTACATTATTAACTCATCACACACACCAACGTACTACTTTCTGTTCCATTTTGATTGGTCACATGTAGCAGGATGGCTATCAGACTATATAAACACAATATAACTTCAATTTTCGTAATCACAAATTATTTCATTGAAACCTCTCTGATCCGTATCAATTCTTCCATCATACCACCGATGGACTATCAACTTCTTGATAAGTGAATTATGTGGACTTAATACACATATATAATGACCTTATAGCCTGTGTGCAGTTGAATAGTTGAAATATGATGAATCCATCATATTCTGTTAAACTTGTTGTTCTAGTTTTGCAAAAATAATTATTGCTTCTGAATATTTTAAATAATAACGGTATTAAAGGTACTAGTATGAAACAGGCAGTTGGTGTTACATTAACGTCTGGTTTGCACTCGAGAATGAACACATAATTGAGTGTAATTTTGATTGTGATAATTCAATCAGCCAGCACAAAAATCTACAATTCTGTACAGGGGTATCCTAGGAATAGTAATTTGTTGTATGTTTGAGGATGTAGAAGTCCATTTCCATTTGGCGAGACTATTTTTCTTTGTTTTCTTCTTAACTTGAGAAATGATAGTTTGTAAATAATCTAAAAATGTGCCAGTGTGTGATATATATAGAAGATACAGATTCAGATATGTTGTTTGAGGATAGGAGGCTTGGAGGCTATATTAATCCTTTTCCAGTAGATTTCTCTGCTTGTCCAATCCCCCTTTGAACGAGTCAATTGATGATGCGGACATCATCTCTTCTAGGAGTCAGTTCCTGGCGTTGATTGCTCGACGCTAGAACTAGTACTCTGCGGAGACTATGTTCGTTCTTTGCTTTTGTAGTCTCATACTATGTCCTCTGAGGTGTTCCGACCTAGTGGGAAGGAAAAGAGAATATATGTCAGGTCCGAAGTCATTTCTTAGAATACTGTACAGAATGATTAGATCTCCTCTCTGTCTGCGATGAGATAAAGTGAATAGGTTCAACTCCTTAAGTCGGCCTTCATAGGTGAGGCCAGCCATCCCAGGGATCATACGAGTGGCTGCCCTCTGAACTCTTTCTAGAAGGTCTGCATCACCTTTCATACAAAGATTTGGCACCTGTGTACAGTTTTCTGATTAAGACCTCACTAAGGGTGTGTATAAAATGGTGAATATGTCACCACTTATTTTCGTAAACGTTCTAAGTAATGCCCAGAGAGTCCTAAAATTTCGAGCTGCTGCCAATAGACAATGTGCTGCAGTTTTCAAGTCATAACTCATTGTGACTCCTAGGTCATTGTGGGTCAGTACTGACGGTAAAGGAGTCTCATTTATATAGTAGGTGTCACTGTCTGAGTGCCCTGAGTACCTGCTCACACACCTACCTGCATCAGCCACTTCTCTGACCAGGTAAACAAGCTGTTTAAGTCTGCCCGAAGTGCACGTATATCCTCATCGTTCCAAATCTCCCGCCATATTTTTACATCCTCGTAGAGAACCATGGGGGATTTCGTGACATTTAGTATCTCATTTATGTATATGAGAAAGAGCAGGGGGCGCAGGACTGTGCCTTGGGGCACTCCACTTTCTACTGACTTCCAAGGGGAGGGCTGGGAATTGTCCCTTATTCTTTGTCTCCTGTCAATGAGGAACTTTTATGCATGCAGACAGACTGTCAGTGATTCCAAAACTTGCTAGTTTCCCAAGCAACCTGGAATGAGGTACCTTATCGAACACTTTACTCAAGTCCATTCACACCCACAGGTATCCTGTCCTCTTTATACCCAGCCCAACTTTCTCTGACTGTAAGGAGGTTCGTCAAGCAAGAGAAATTTCTAGGAAAGCCATGCTGCAAACGAGACAGTGGAGTGTTGCTGTCTAAGTGAACTGTGGTGGCTTTCCCTTTCTGAGATTTTCACTACAGTACTAGTCAAACTTATCGGTCTGTAATTTGGTGGGAGCTGCCTAGAACCTGTCTTGTGGATAGGTGCTACTATGGCATCCTTCCAGTCATGGGGGAGTGTGCCTTCACTGAGAGACGGTCTGAACGTAGTAGTCAATGGGCCGGCTACATAGAGTGCAAACTCTCTGAGCAGGCTTGGGTGCGGCTCATCCGGTCCCGTTGATTTTTCCACATCGAGAGTACTCGATATCCGAAATAAATCATTGTGATCGATATCCGCAGAGTTTTTTTCTGTTGGATATCAATGCTTCTACTGTTGGATAAATGTCCACAGAAGATTCCTGTGTGCAGACCTCAGCAAAATATCCAGCCATAGCTTCTGCTTTTTCCCTATCGTCCTCAATCGAACAGTCAGTTTCGGCTTCATAGATTAGGGTGGGTATACCACGACACATCTTATTCCTATAACTCATATGGAAAAATAACCTCTTTGAATGTTGTAATGCAGCCTGGACTAGACGTGTTTCAAAGTATATTCGAGACCGGTGGATAGCAGAGATACATTTATTGCGAGCCTCTGTGTAATGCTTGACCACTTCGGGTGTACCGAGGTGGGTGGCAAGACTCCAACACTTTTTCTGCGTCGTAGCAAGATTCGGATGTCGTGGTTTATCTACAGGGGACAATATTTCCTTCCCCTTGAGACAGTCCGCGGTATGAACGGTTGGGTCCCTCATGCATATAACTGTTTGAGGGGGCACCATGCACCTTCAACTTAGACTTCTAGATTGACTGCCGAGTCCTCCAAAGAGGCTGCCAGGTTAATAGCTTCCATATTCGTTTTCCATATGTTTTGTGTCCAGCTGGGGCATCGGCCTGGTACAAGACGTCTGCTGTGAATCTGAAGTTGATCACAGCTTGATCACTTTTACTGTGGGGTGCTAGGTGCCGGATGAAGTACATATCATGTGTATGTGAGAATGTTAAGTGCAGAAGTGATGGAGGATGCTGATGACCGTATCTTATTGGTGTCCTAATTTGCTGTATGAGGGCTAAGGAAGTTGATGTTTCCACTAATAGGTGATCAAATGTATTACGTGGTGCTTTTGTTGTTAGTCTATCCCAGTCAGCTGGTGATGCGTTGAAGTCTCCTACAACTAGACATCGGCATTCATCTGTCTAGAGGGTTAGCTTATTCAGGAGGAAGTCTGCCGCATCGCATTCAGGGCTTCCATGTATTACGATTACGTTAACATCTTGTCCCTTGCATTTTAGTCGTCAGCGCAGCATTTCACATGTCCCACTTTCATGTGCGAATGTTTCTATGGCCTTTACAATTAAGTTATACTTAACGTAAAGGATGACACCACCACCTTTGTGTGCTAACCTGTCACTTCTAAAAGGGACGAATCTTCATGCGTTTCACAGTCACTATTCCAAGACGAGAGCCAAGTTTCTGAGATAGCAATGATGTCAGGGCTTTCGTTGCTTATCACATTACTAAGCTCAGTCCACTTGTTTAAAAGACTGCATGCATTTGTGTACAAGACTACGAAACTACTTAAATGAGTTTCCGTCCTATGCATAGAGGCTTTGGCATCCTTTGTTGCCGAAACCTCACTACACAAAAACCCACTGCTTTCAGATCTTGCTCTCTAGTTGCTGATCTGGATTTTAGTTCTGCTTCTGCTTCTCGTTGTTCAATTCGATCAGCAAGAGCCAGATCCTTTCGCACGAACACTCTAGATCCTTGAAGTCTGTGAGCATTCTTTAGAATCTAATCCTTCTCATCTGCTGACTTGAACACGACTTTGAGTAGCTGAAACTTATTTTCAGTAATGACTGTCTCTTGTTTTCATACTCTATATGTCTTGAGTAGGATGACTGCTAGCATATTTTTCTGGTAAATTCTGGTTTACCAAGCTTTATACCTTGCCAACGTCATGTTTGTAACGTTTACGCGGTTCTGGGTCTCTACTTTCTACCACTCTGTGAAAGATTACGGACCTGTCAAGGATCTCTACTTTGTCTTTGCTCTGTGAAGTGACGATAGCTGATTCCGTCACCGTTATTGGCTTCTTAGAATGTCGTTCAGACTTATTTACTCGCCACTTCTCACGGTCGAGCATACAAGGTTTACTAAAGCCCAGTTCAGTGACCTTGACGCTGATAGCCTCAGAATGGGCTTGCATCCCATTCTGTGCTATCTTCGTCAATGATTGGATCTCCGAACTGGGTATGACCTGTGGCCTGCATGGTTCCTTCGTTGGCACTGAGAAGGCTTAACTCCTGTTTTTTTCATCTGAAGCAGAGCTAGTCTTACGGTCAGCAGTTTTCAGACTGGATCTGCCAGCTCTTGGAATGCGAGAACCAGAAGATACTCTCTTCACCCTACTTGGTGTAGTTTTTTCCAACTCGCTGTCAGCAAACCTAGCAGCTAGCTTACGCGCCCAACTTACAGCTTGTCGTGGGACGTTCCTAGAATTTTGCACAGCAATGTGTATGCCAATGAATGCTGTCTGGTTATCTCTGTCACGGTTATCGACTTTGATTTTCGACTATAGTTTCTTAGTTATCGTATTTATTAAAAGTGTTTTTGCTTCTTCTACCAGAGTGCGAATATCCGAGCAGCTTAACGTAAAAAGCCAGACACCCTCTTATATGCTGAGGGTGTGAGGTTTGTGAAGTCATCGTGGAACCAACTCTTACATTCGCTTCACTGCATACCACAGGCCACCGTGAAGTGTCACCCGGCCCTACCACAAGGATTTTTACGACACTTTTGGCTCACCATGTAGCAAAAACTACAGAACTTCACTCAGTAAAAGTCTCTGTCTGACTTTAATCGAATAATATTCCGATTAGGGTAAAAATACAACAGTCTTTGATGTGTTAACACAAAAATTGCCAAGAATCTAGCTGGATGTGAAAAGTCACTCTCCGTTTTAAACAGCGCGCGAAAAATTTAAACAAATTGAAAGAGAAGAATCAGATGAAATGTATTGAGTAGAAAACGTTTGTTAGCCCAAAGTTTAAGCATTTCGTTTCAAACACGCTGTAACTTACACAAATACAAAGTATGTCTAATATAAGTATTACTGCTTGTTGTAGTATACCGTCGTTGATTGAACCGAATCTATCGATCTCTATTGGCATATGGACGAGTCCCAAATAGGACGAAATGCGCATCCTGGATTCCACTGCTAGCCACTATCCATCATTACTATATCTAATAAGTAATAATATTAGTGTGAAATGAAATTCCGTACAAGGTTGTTGATTAGATCTTATTCCCTATTACTTTAATGTCCTATCTTAGAAAATTGTATTATTATTATTATTATTAGTCCCTTGGGTTCCTACTGGAACATAGGGCTTCAGTAGCACGTCTCTAGTGAACTCTCTTCTCCGAAATCTTTTGAACCTGGCTCCACGACAGCCCACAAGCTCTCATTTCCTCCTCGCACGATCTTCTCCATGTCACCCTCGGAAGTCCAACTCGTCGCTTCTCATGGGGATTCCACTCGAGCTACTGGCCTGACGCGTGATGTCCCCAGTCGGCCTTCTCAGTGTATGCCCAATCCTATCCATCTCCACTTCTTTCTACATATTTGTTGGGTGATAGGTTCTTGGTTGGTTTGTTCCCAGAGTTCCTTGTTGCTTATTCTTTCTGGCAATCCATCTGATCTTCAGTAGCGAGCCAGCGTAAGCAGTTGTTGATGAATGTCTGTAGTTTATTGGAAATCCTTTTCGTGACGCGCCAAGTCTCTGAACCATACAGAAGCACTGACTTGACTGAATTGGTGTTGAAAATCCAGATCTTGTTACACATGCTGAGTTCAGAAGATCTCCACACTGGTTTCAGGCTAATGAACGCCTGTCTTGCTTTTCCGATTCTGAATTTGACATCCTCGTCTGTGCCTGTGTTGCCTGTAGTTGAAACAGTGCTGCCTAGATAGGTGAAGGAGGTTACTTCCTTTAAGTTTCTCCCGTTGATGGTGATTGGAGTTTGTTGTTGTTGTTGTTAGAGTTGTTGGTGCGGTATCTTCATCACCTTTGTCTTCTCCCGTCTTCGCTGCCCTGCCTCTTCTGCCAAGCTGTTAGTTTTCGCCTGTAGATCTTCAAGTTTGTGCGACATTATACATTAATCATCATCGGCGAAATCCAAATCTTCTAGGTTCTTTTCATCGGTCCAGCGTATCCCCCTCTTCTCACAGCTCCCCACTGTTTGTTGCATGATCCAGTCCAGTTGACCACAATCAGGAATATCATGGGGGATAGTAGGCAACCTTGATTCACTCCTGTCTTCACTTCACTTCAGTGGCATCACTGAGCTTTGCATTGTGAATTACTTGGCATGTGGCATCTTCATATAGTTGTTGAATGAGGCGGATAAAGGTTTGCGGTATTCCGTAGCAATGAAGCAGTTTCCAAATTACCTCTCGGTTGAGACTGTCGAAGGCCTTCTCAAAGTCTATGAAGTTGAGGTAGAGAGTTGATTGCCATTCTATACTTTGTTCTATGATGATGACAAGCGTTGCAATTTGGTCCGCACATGATTTTTTATTCCTGAGTCCAGGCAGCCAGCCTGTTCCGGTCGTAGTTTTGAATCCAGTGCATCCTTAAGCCTCTCTGGGATGATGCGGCTTAATATTTTGCTTGCCCTGGGTGGGCAGGAGTGGAGCAAGATTCCGCGCCAGTTCTTGCAAACACTGAGGTCTCCCTTCTTCGGCAGTTTGACCAGGTAACCCCTCTTCCAATCGCCAGGTACCTTCTCTTCCTTCCACACCTTCTGCAATAGTGGTGTTGTGTGAGCATGTCCGCTGTTGTCTCTGCGTCTATTTTCAGTGCTTCTGGTCCTGCTGTTTTCCCCCATTTCAGTAGCTTTATGGCGTTCAGGACTTCCATTTTCGTTGGAGGATTAATGTTCACTTGTAGTTCTGCGGCTGTAGGTGGTATTTCTGGACGAAGTGCAGGTGGTGGTCGATTGAAGAGCTTCTTGAAGTGGTCGGCCCATTGTTTCTTTTGTTTCTCTTTTTTCGTAATTAAATTTCCTTCTTCATCTTTTATTGGTTTCATTTGCGTTGATCTCTTCTCTGCCATATAATAACCTGGTTATTTGATACAATGTTGTCAGGTCTCTCCTATCAGCCTGCAGCCTGTTCTACTTCACTTGCCAGTGTGTAGTAGAAATGTCTTTCGTCTTTTCGTGTACTCTTCTTCACTTCTTTGTCGAATGTTTTATGCATTGTACTCAGTTCCTCTTGTCGTTGAGCATCCATGCACTGGTTTATCTTCTGTTTCACCATCCTCCTCTCCTCCATCAGCTTCCATGTATCCATCGAGATCGATTCCTTATCTTCTTTCTTCTTCCTTCTTAATACGGTCATTCAGGTTTCTTTCCACATCTCTTTCAAAGAGTTCCAGTGTTCTTCCACACAGGTTTCTTCAAGGATGTTCTTCGATATCTCCCATTTTGTCTTGATGTCTGATTGACGTGAAGATCTCTTTTGTAGTTTCATCCTTCATTTTCTGTTCTGGGTGTTGTACTTGAATTGTGGTCTATCACCAGCTTCCTTGAAGGCTTTTAACTTGATTTAGAAGGTTCCTTGCACTAGATAGTGGTGCATAGCATTGTATGATTGTGACCTTCCTTCCTTTTGAGTTGAACCTTACTGTCATGATCCTGCAGGAGGAGATTGGTTCCCACTGCATGAGAGCCTTAGATGTTGTTGGAGACATCATGATAGCCACTCCAACACTCAGTGTGCTCGTGGTTGTCGTCGGAGTAGATTATTGATTCTCCAGTTGACAGTTTGGAGAGTCCACTCCCATTCCATCTGCTTTCGCAAATTCCAAGCACTTCAATGTGATACCTCCTCATCTCGTTTGCAATCTGGGCAGCCTTGCTGGGTTCAAACATGTTGCGGACATTACATGTCCCCACGCTTACTTTCGCTTTCATCGAGAGAAAACACATCGGCCAGTTGGCTTCCCGAAGGCATTCACCAACTGGCGTCATTTCGCCTCTTCGATTCCAGCGAGGAATAATTTTGTTTTCATTTTTTATATTTTGTTTGTGCTTTGAAGTTTCTTTAGCGGTTAGATTTGTTTTACGGAATAGGGTTGCTAGCCCATGCCCAACCTTCCCTCTTTGTCAGGGCTTAGGACCGGCTAGTAACTACTGAACTAGTTACCCAGGCGAGGTTAGAAAATTTTATATCACTTCAGTTTTCTGAGTTCATTCTTAGAAATTCTTCCGTCTTCTCACATAAACGATGTAAGTGGCTAGAGTTTTATTTATATCTGTATTTGTAATAACACGCGTTAAATTCAGGTATTTTTACTTTAACTTTTATTTACTATTTTGCTTTTATCATTCGTAGATTTTTACACAACCCTTCTTATTTCGAGAAGTTACTACTGACAATTTAAAGTATTTATTAGGTAGTTTAATACAGCTAGCTGAACGAGTACAACTTAATCGTGAACAATCGTTAGTATCTCCAAGTCCTCGTGTTTTGTTTACACTGAAAGTTGTTCGATTTATTTATGCAGCTGTTGATCCTTCTATCGCATTGAGGTTAGTTTGTTTTGTTTTTTAACCTTAATTCGATTCTTTGACATTGATTAGATCAACTAGTTTATGATGTGGTTGTTTTGATTGACTCACTCTGGGGGCTAAAATTTTGTTTACTCAATGTTTCATAGTTAATTTAGATATTCTTATTCAATAAGATTACAGCAGGATCTGATAACGTCTTACTTGTCGTCGAAATGCCTTTTTTAAACCAGAACACAGATTCAGAAGATCTGTCAGTGAGAACAAACTATAGTCAATTGCATTCTGTTTCATCACTGTAATTGGACCTTTTTTTTCTTCGTATATGTTTCATATGGTTGCATAACGCTTTGAAATTGAGTAATCTATACTTTTCAGCCTAAGTTTACTTACTTTTTCAGTGTTCTTTTACGCCTGGTTCATATTTGTTGTTTCGGTTGTGATATTATATCATGTCATCGAAGCAAATTAACAGATTTTGATGATGATAGTCTTACAGAAGCTACATACTATTTAGACGAACCCTTCTCCGTAGAAATGAAACCGGTTTCCTTTACCAAAGTTGCACATCTTTCACTTGCACAACTTTCATGCCAAATTTCAGAAATCAGAGATTACAGTAAGTTGTTTGTTGTATTTGCCGCTTTTTTTTTTGCGTTTTTGGGTTGTGATGTCGAATTGTAGCGAAAATTGTTTCCTAGTAAAAATATGTGTTTTCATGGTTTATCCTTCCTCTTACTAGGCAATAATACAAAAGTTGGTTTTGTATACAGATCACTGGAAACGAAGAAGTTATAAATCATTGCTTTAACTTAGTTTTTATATCTTTTCTGTGCTGTAAACATTTATTCTCATTAAATCATTTAACTTAAAACTTTCATTTTTCACGAACTGTATTACCATTTAGCTATACAACGATGTAAATCCCTATTTTTAATTTGTAACCATTTTGTAAATACGTTTTCCTGTTACCACTTGCCCTTGTGGATTTTGCAAAGGAATCCAAGGGGATTCTTAGTAGCAGGAATACTGTTTTATTCAATGCGCAGATGGTATTATTATAATTATTTGTCCCTTGGGTTCCTAATGAAACACAGAGTTTCAGTAGCACATCTCCAGTGCGCTCTGTTCTGTGAAATCTTTCAAACCTGGTTCCACAACAGCTCATTTCTTCCTCACACCATCTCTATATCGCCCATACCTCAGACACCCAACTCGTCGCTTCCCCTTTGGGTTCCACCCGAGGGCCTGACGCGTGATGTCCCCAGTCGGCCTTCTCAGTGTATGCCCAATCCTATCCATCTCCACTTCCTTCTACATATTTGTTGAGCGATAGGTTCTTGGTTGGTTCGTTGCCAGACTTCCTTGTTGCTTATTATTTCTGGCCATCTGAGCTTCAGTAACGAGCGTAAGCAAATAAATTATCATTGACTGACATCAGTTGGGGAACTATTGAAAATTTGGGAGCACTGGACACCTGTTTCGTTCAACTATAATGGGACTCCTCAGCAGTACGCACCCACGACCCGGCTAGGAGTCGAACTCAGGACCTCCAGGTTTCACGGCGAACGCGTTAACCATGCTTCCAGATGGATGTTAGGAAGTTCTAATGAGAAGCCGTGACCTGTGGGGTCAACCAGTCGGAAATAACCATTCAGCCGCTGGGTCGGTTTCCAGTGGTTCACAATTTCCAACTTATGTCAATTCACGACATAGAGCGACTGTCACCCAAGGTCTTCAGTTAGCATCCACTTCACTTCCGACTGGTTGACCCCACAGGTCACGGCTTCTCATTAGAACTTCCTAACAGAACTTCCTAACCAGATCCTTACTTAATGCATGAAGTCTTGCCTTCATAGTGAACAAACTAGCTACTATACGCTAAAGTAGAAAATGTCTGCTTTTCCGTCTAGTTGTAGCAGTTGCGATCAGATCCTGGAAATAAATACATGTTCAAATTTGACAGTATAACTCCAAATGGGTTTAGCACTTTAATCATGTTGGGAGTCGCTATTTCCAACAACCTCTTTAGACACCAAACGACCAAGTATTTCAGTTAGAGAATGTGGAAGTATATATTACATTATATAAAGGCTATATTTCTGCTCATATCATTCTTATCGTTGAAATTCGATTCTACTTTGAGCAAAAAAGTCATCATCATCATCAGTAAAATCACTAACATTTTAGAGTGATCTAACAAGAGCTGTAGGTGCTAAAATGCAAAGAAATGTTTCTGTAACGCACGAAACGGAGTGGATAAAAAGGGAATAGAGAGCCATCGAATAAGAACTACTACTCATGACGATTAAGCTAGTAACAACATTCCTTTATTTAAAAAATCAGTAATTATAACTACTTACATAAGTGTATTAATTATTTATACTGTGTGATGATTCGAGGTGAAACGAAAGTTTGGACCACGGCCGGACTCGAACAAAAGACCACCGGGTTTCTGCGCTGGTGCTCTACGGGCCATGGTCCAAATTTTCATTTCATTTCAACTTCAATAATCACCGAGTATAAATACAAGTCAGCTACATTACGGTTATCTCAGATAGTCAAAATGATAATTTATTTTTGAGATGAATGGGGATTATAATTTAGAAGTAGTATTCATCATGGACTGACATCAGTTGGGGAACCATTGAAAATCTGGGAGCACTGGACACCTGTTTCGTTCAACTATAATGGGACTCCTCAGCAGTACGCACCCACGACCCGGTTAGGGGTCGAACTCAGGACCTTCAGGTTTCACGGCGAACGCGTTAACCATGCTTCCAGATGGATGTTAGGAAGTCCTAATGAGAAGCCGTGACCTGTGGGGTCAACCAGTAGGAAGTGAAGTGGACGCTAACTGAAGACCTTGGGTGACAGTCGCTCTATGTCGTGAATTGACATAAGTTGGAAATTGTGAACCACTGGAAACCGACCCAGCGGCTGAATGGTTACTTCCTACTGGTTGACCCCACAGGTCACGGCTTCTCATTAGGACTTCCTAACATCCATCTGGAAGCATGGTTAACGCGTTCGCCGTGAAACCTGAAGGTCCTGAGTTCGACCCCTAACCGGTCGTGGGTGCGTACTGCTGAGGAGTCCCATTATAGTTGAACGAAACAGGTGTCCAGTGCTCCCAGATTTTCAATGGTTCCCCAACTGATGTCAGTCCATGATGAATACTACTTCTAAATTATAATCCCCATTCATCTCAAAAATAAATTATCATTTTGACTATCTGAGATAACCGTAATGTAGCTGACTTGTATTTATACTCGGTGATTATTGAAGTTGAAATGAAATGAAAATTTGGACCATGGCCCGTAGAGCACCAGCACCAAGAAAAGTCATCAAATTTTATGTTTATATTTTATGTTAGACTTCGGACAACCTCCATCCCATTGTTATTGTCCAATTTCATATAGTTTTCCAGGCATTTTGCTTATAAAGAGTATAGGTTGTCTGAATGAACCTCGTGCCCTAGTAGAAGCATGTGAACGGTTGACATTTCAAGGCTGCCAACATCATGGAAATTGTTTCTACATGGTGCCTGAAAGTGAAAAAGGAATGGATTTGTTTGAATGCAGAGCCTGTAGGACCTGCTTGAGGACTGTTAGTATGAGATTTAACTATTTTAACGTTGGGTAGAAAAAACCCATACTTCTGGCACCGGAAGACTGTAGAACGGAGAGAAGTTTTTTATTCCTCTTTACATAGGGTAGGTCATCTGTGGAGAACGCCCTACTGCTGTCAGAACCCTATCCAGCCAGCAGTACGACTTTTTACTCAAACCACCATCATAGTATTGCAATTTACACCATAGCAGTAACTGATTTTGGTCTTGCCACTACCCAGTAAACCTTTCTGACATGGTAGGAACTCGAGGGAGGAAGCATTTCGACTAGTGTAGCTCGTTGAGTGATTGTGTTATACAAGCCCGACCACCAAGTCAAGGTTTCAGCTATCTGTCAAGTGTGACAACTTGAACCGATGTACTCGCCTGTAAGGTTCTCCCTAACTTAATGGTGAATGAATAGCAGTTTAGCAACGAAATAGGGTTTTATTCTGTAAAGCGATATGAGTAGTTAAAAACCACTCACGCTGAACTGCAGATTTCGCTAGCCAGATTAGAGTGACCTAAATACCGGATGACTGTTTCGGTCGTCTAGAGCCTTGGTCATCAGCTGTTGTTTTATCCACATGTTGTCGTTTGATCACACTTATGAAGTGACATTTATTAAATTTTTCTCTTGGTATAGGAAAAGTAAGTTTTTATTGCGTCATCTGGTTAGAAATATCATACATTCAGTTCCCTTGACAAATTTGAACAATGTAAAAACAAAGACATTTACAGAATAAAATGAGCTCATTTTATTTCATGGCCTTTCATCAGGTTCAAATGGCGTACAATTGAAATGAAGTATTAGTAGTAATGATAGTATGACATCTCAGGAAAGTTTTAAAGTAACAATTGATTGATGGAGCAACCTATAGTGAACTTAAGCCAAGTGGTTCACGACTACCCTTCATGTACATCCTTCTAAAAGAATTGATAAGTTCACTTTTCCTTTGAAAACCATTCTGTCCATGATAAATTCAACTTGTCACAAATTGGCTCGTTGGTTAGCAAAAAAATGGAACCTATCAGAAAAAGGTTCACAAATCCCAACTTAAATGATACATTCCAATTCTCTGAAGAACTGGATGGATTAGATATCTCAGATAAGTTCATGGTATCATTTGATGTTTCTTCATTGTTTACGAACATACCAGTGGACTAAACGATACACATAATCTGTCAACAGTCTGATCTACTACCATCGCCGAAAACAGAACTCAAACAGTGACTCCTCCTCTGTACAAAAGGTGTTCAGTTCCTGTTTGATCATCAACTATGCTGGCAAACTGATGAGGTGGCTACGGGTTCACCACTAGGGCCTATCCCGTCTAATATATTTATGGCTCATCTCGAGCGAGCAAGTCAAAACTCTGTGATCAAAGAAACGACATATTACTGCAGGTTTGTTGATAATACTATCATTATTTGTGATAATATGAATCATGCGTCAAAGTTGTTCGACACCTTCAATCAAACTCATCCAAATAATAATTTTACAATGAAATACGAAAATGAGGACACATTCAATTTTTCGGATCTAAATATAAGATGGAGATGTGATGGTACAGTTGAGAAAACTATCCTCAGGAAAGACACATGGACTGGTCAATGCCTTCACCACAATAGTTTCTCTCCAGTCAGCTATAAAAGTAGTTTAGTCAGGACGCTTTTCATTAGAATCAGAATGCTTTGCTCAAAAGACAAACGAGAAGGAGAATTCGGTATCATTGAGAAGGCTCTAATAAACAATGGATATCCGAAGAAATTCATCATGATCCATGGAAAAAAATTTTATCGAGAGATTTAAACACCCAACTGTTTGGAAGAAGTCTGTTTACCTTCCCGTAGCATTCAAGGGTGATGAGACATTTGAAAGAACAAACAGTAGTATAAAAGCTGAACTGAGAAGAGGCTTTCCTGTTGCCAGACTGATCTCAGTTTACAATACAGCGTGCTCAGTGACACACTCGAAGATAGACAAACACCCACTTCACGTTACCTCTAACCGTGTTTATCAATTTACCTGTGTTTGTAGAAGAAAGTACATAGGACGAACCGAAAGAAGGGCGTCTAACTTGATTTTATGAGAATATTCCGAGAAATCTGTCTAAAAGGTAACAGCGTCTTTACGAGTGCAGTTACCAGGCATCTCATAGGAACCGGACATCAAATAGATGTTTCTCAATCTTTCTATAATCAACAAACAAAGAACCCCATGGTTATTATGGTTTGTGGAAGCTGTCTCGCTTTCAAACATTTTCAACCTGACCTATATACTCACTTTTATTTACCTTGGAAACTATATAATTTTTTGCATATGTATGCTTATAGTCTTCCTTTTTTTTGACTGGATCATCTCTTCATTAATTACTTATTGACTTTTTTAAGGGAGTTGTGGAGATTTGGAAATATTTCAAGTTGTTATTCATCGTAGACTGACATCAGTTGGAGGAACTAAGGTTTCCTTTGACTCATTAACCTATTGTTTATCCTGGATTTCAAATTTACATTTAATTCCACATATTTAAATTGAGTTACATTATTATTATTATTATTATTATTATTAACACTTCATTTCAATTGTAGATTGTTTTTGCACCTGATGAAAGGTCATGAAATAAAATGAGCTCATTGTATTTTGTAAATGTTTTTGTTCTTGCATTGTTCAAACTAGTTAGAAATAACTTAGCAGTATCCATTTTACAGTACATATGTATGTTCAAGCATAGTTATTTACTACTACCCCCCTTTTTGGATTATAATAATTTCTAAATATGGCAACTATTTATATATACATTAACTCTTTTATATATCCTGTAAAAACTACCTATTACTTTTTAAAAGTACTTTTCTATCATGATTAAAGTTGATAGTATATATCAATATATAAGAATTTGAATGCCTAATTTTTTTTTTCTAATGATTTCAGTAAACAAGATTGATTGGGCGTTAATTCTACCTTTACTCGAACCATTTATCCCTAATTCTTCTGGTGTAACAAAATCTGTGAAAATACAAAGTCATCATTCTATTCGTGTGAAAATTTTACAAAAGACAGTTAAGATTATTCAATGTATGCTAATTGAAGTATACGCTTGTATTGGTCAACAATTCTTGGATGAAGTTAAGAAGTATGAAGATCGAGTAAGTTTAATTGATTCACATATCTTATGGTGTGTATGTGTGGTTATTTTTTTTAATGAATTTTTCTGCTTGTTTTTTGTTGTTGTTGTTGAATTTTTTTTTAAGTTTCAATTTGTATCTCAACTAATGTCTGGTTCTATTCATCGTTTAACATGTTAGCCTAAATCAACTCTGATAAGAAATGATTTTCAATAATAGCTGTCAAAGTAATTTAGTTGAAAAAGTTTTATTTACTTTTTCTAACCTGGAGGTTAGTACTGTCATTGTTGTCATATTTCTATCTTCATTAAAAGCTTCCAGAAAGAAAAGATTATTGATGATTAAGATAAATATCTTACTTTTAATAATCCTTCCTCGCTACTGAAGATCAGATGGCCAGAAAGAATAAGCAACAAGGAACTCTGGGAGCGAACCAACCAAGAACCTATCACGCAACAAATATGCAGGAAGAAGTGGAGATGGATTGGGCATGCACTGAGAAGGCCGACTGAGGACATCACGCGTCAGGCCAGTAGCTCGAGTGGAATCCTCATGGGAAGCGACGAGTTGGACGTCCAAGGGTGACATGGAGGAGGTCGTGCGAGGAGGAAATGAGAGCTTCTGGGCTGTCGTGGGACCAGGTTCAAAAGATCTCAGAGAAGAGAGGTCACTGGAGGCGTGCTACTGAGGTCCTATGTTCCACTAGGAACCCAAGGGACTAATAATAAATAATAATAATAATAATAATCCTTCAACGTCACTGATTGATATTCTTAAAAACAATTTTCTACCTTTCTCTGCTTAGTTATTCTTGTTTGTTTGTTGTTACTTCATTGTTTGACTGAATCAGTTTACATTTTGGCGTATTGATTCTGTCAGTTTTTGTTTTCTGATAACTATAACTGTTATCTCACTGTATATTATTCATTAGGTGAGACTATAAAATTTCTCTGCACTTGAGCAATTCACTCTGTGACTTTGATTTGTCTACCCCTAGTTTTAAGCCGACAAAGATTCCGATCATATTATTTGTTGGTGTGTTCGGTAAATTACCTTACATATGATCTTTTTAAGCCATTTGTTAACGCTGGAAGGCTTTTATGCAGCTGTATTTGTCTAAGTAGTAGTTTTGTATATGTATGCGTACTATGATATTGCACCATAATCTCACAGTTCAGGCCCAAATTAGTTAGCTTCGACGTAAAACTGACTCACTCTCTTCTAGAAGCCTCAAAAAGACATCAGGTTCTATGGTGCACATATTTGGAAGGGATCGACCTCCAATACACTTCCAGCGGTAAAAGAAAAACAAATCTGATCACCTCTCATCACTTTTATCCCTACTATCTTCTCCGTTTCCTCTTCCAGGTTATTATTATAATTTCAAGTTGTTATTCATCGTAGACTGACATCAGTTGGAGGAACAAAGGAAACCTGAGAGCACTGGACAGCTGTTTCGTCCTAGTATGGGACTCCTCAGCAGTGTGCACCCACGACCCCACCAGCAGGGATCGAACCCGCGACCTTCAGGTTCCGCGGCTAGCTTCATTCTAAACAGTATGTGTGTTACAGTATGGAATTCTCAGCATTTAATATTTCAACAAATTCATTCCCTGTACAATATCTTTAGGCAAAAGAATCATTGCATCTGAATAGTGTTAATGATAACGGTACTAAAAGCCACAATGGGAAACCGGTACCTGGTATTTACATTCGCGTCTGGTTTGGACTGATGAATGAATAGAAAATTGAGCGTAATTTTAGTGTTGGTAGTTGACCGAATCAGTACCGAAGTCTGCAATTCGATACAGTTATCCAAAGAATAGTAACCTACTGTATTTCTGTGGATTTATAAGCCAATCTCTTAGAAGTGTAACATTTCTTCTATGTTTTGTTGTTGGCTTGAAAAGTAGCAGTTTGAAACCATTTTAAAAGTAGACAAGAGTACATCATGTGTTTAAATGACATATTTAATAGATTAAAACAAATTGAATAAAAGGAATTTGATGTAATATATTCGGTGGAAAATTTTCAGTAGCCCATTGTTTAAGAAGGCCGCCTCGTATTTCATCATCATCATCATTATCAACATAGGACCAGGCATTACTGCGTAACGGTCCGAGTTGCCACACCTCATATCAGCCTCGTATTTACACTTTGACTGGCAACAAGTGTTTCTACTGCAGCCAGCAAAATATCATTTTTACTCATTTTAAACCATACTATCAAATTCACGTTAAAATTTCAACTTCTAAACTCTATGTCAAGTCACAAAAAAAAACAGAAGTAACTAACCGAAACTGCTGTATCTTTGTACCATGGTTACGCCTTTCTGGTACAAGACGGATTTACAATACCCAAGTCTGTCGATTCTCTTGATTTGAATTAACCAATACAACGAATGTACAAAATTCATTCTTCGACGGATATTTCCTAAGAATTCAGCGGTCTGGAGGCAACACGAAACTTAAGAGCAAAATTATCTCATTAAAAAAAATTGTTAAGACAGATACTAAAAGAAGCACCGTATAAAATTATATAATAATATTAAAAGGATGAAAAATCAATATAAATTAAGAGAAACAACATTGTAAATGGTTAGTGAAAGAAGCAATCTCAAAGGTACATTCAAGGATGCATTTACTACTTTTTGATAATAGGAGAGAAAAGAGCTGTAGCATGATCTCCAGTTTTGAGCTCTGCGTTATTCTCTCAAGTCACTGAATTGTGTGATCTCTCAAATCTCAACTGGGAAGCTGTTAGCTACCAGCAAGTGGCAACCCTATTATTATTGTTATTATTATTATTATCATTATTATTATTATTATTATATACGTTGCCAGACATTTTTGAAGATGGTTACAACGATGACGCAAAAAATTCAGTCAGTTTCCTGACCACAGCATTACTTCCATTCTTAAAAGGAATAGGAAGTGATTTGTCTTAATCAGGTGCCAAATGGCTCTTGAGTGCTTTGAGTTCTCTGTAAACTTCAGCTACGCTAGATGGGTTTGTGTTAGCTGACCGTGGAGTGCGAGACACTGAAGTCAATGTTGCTTGAACAGTGGGCCAGTTAAATTGCTTTTCGAAGTGTTGTGTCCAGCGTCCCAGACGTCTTAAAATTTGGTAGTCGATGTACCATATATTCCACAGGTCATCTCCCTAACACCAGACCTGCTATTGGCTACTCAGATGGGCTGGAACAGCCAATGACTTGCCAGGTGCAGGAACCACTTCCATCTCTTTTTTACATTCTGACCATCAGTCCTCACGGTCTTAACGTGAGCTCTGTGTGTTCTTTCGTTTAAGACATGTATACATACCATTTTACTCGTTGTCTACCGGAATAGACTGATGTAAGTCAGTAAGTCGCATGGAATTTGCAGACACTAACTGTTCATCAGCCTATTTTCTCCCTAAGTTTGTGCACTCATGGACTGTATGCCATACAGTGGGAAGTTTCACCAAAAGCTGTTATTTTCTCTGTAAAGAAAACATCCAGTTGTTATATAGATAAACAACACATGAGGAGTTTTCATCAGTCAGAAAGATATGATGAGATTATATTTGAGATCTGATGTGAATAGATCCAAAACAATGGTTGTTTTCTACCATTTACCGCGGAAACTGCTAGTTCTTGATCATCGCTATCTCAAAACGAGACAATTTCTCTTTCACTTAAGCTACAATAGATTGCGACCATAGGTTGGTGAGTGTCAGTAGATCCTTAATCCGCAATTGAACTGAGTGATAGGTGAGAGCTCACTCCTGCTACCTTCAGTCATGATACAGAGCAAGCAATTTAATCGTAGACCTACGTTGAAGAAGGCATCGAGATCAGGTAGTATTTGACAGTTACTTACCCTACTTTAGGCACGGGTACTGAAAAATGATTGTTAACGGAACTATCACAGAGAAAGCTAGATTTCTGATAACTTTGTCGAACAGTTGACTTAGATAGACTAGGATACTTTTAGAAATAAGCAAACTGAATTACGGTTACTAGTTCTAGTCTGAATTAGTTGTAGATATCGACCCTGGAACTTACACTGCATTTGGGAAAACTCTTACAAAACTAAACTGAGGAAACGTAGGGGGATTTAATGATTTGCCACGGATTCTTTTGATAGATTTTGTTGAGAAACGCTGGTGAGAATAACCTAGATAATAACTTCAGTATTCGAATCATATTTAATTGCATCACATTCTTCGAGACCATTGTGCTTTATAAGAAAGGAGACAAATGTTCTTGTGATGACCACAGAAAATCAGTTTAACTGACATCATGTTTGAGATCCCAGAGTCTGCAGTCATTCACCACCTAACTGCAACCTGGTAATAACATAATTTGGAAAATCAAGTAGGTCGAAGACTTCCATAAGCCTTCCTTATTCAGATCTTCCAAGCTTCCGTAACAATAGCATACTTAATGGCACAAAAGAGTAGCTGCATCGCTTGAACGGGAGCGATACTTTACTTCATAAATCGAAAGGTCTCGTGTCACCATTCGACTAGAGGGAGTACCAACCAAGTATATCATGCTAACCGAAACTCTATAGTTGAATAATATGCAGTCATGTAAAAGCATACGGAGGTATGTTGTATGAAGTGACAACAACTAGTAGTTTTCGTCAGAAGTGTCCACTTTCAGCATTCTTGTACTGATTTAATTATTTGCTTAGGGTTTTCTGTTTAGCTTTTTAACTGTCTTTAGCGAAAATCGAAGTGTGCCTTACCTACTTTTCGCACTTGTTAATTGTCAGTTAATGATGTAGTAAAAGTCTTTATCGACTTCTAGTCTGCACACAGGGGGTGAAGTGTTTTATGACGGTGACCACTTTGCCTACTTTGAATATCGTACCAGTGCTAATGTGCTGATTATTATTGAAATCTCAGTTAAAATACAAAAACCTTGTTTAACGTCCGTCAATCTATGGTATTTACGATAACGGCAAGATACTTGACTGTAGAATAAAATGGGTGAGTGTTTCATGCAACAGATTGCTCTATTCTTCTCTTCAGTAGCGAAACCTGATGATCGAAGGTGGAAGAGATGAGGTGACAGTTCCTCGGTCAGAAGTGTAATCATAACATTCTTCTCATACATGGTAGAACCACAGAGTAGACGATGTTGAAAGTAGTTATGTTTTTAAAAGACAAATGCTAGTCAGTGAGTGAGTTTGTGAACATGTACAAACTGTAGCGGTTCTGACATGTGTTTTACACACCATCCCATCGTCTACGTTAACTATTTGTTTGATCTGGGTAAGCAAATTATAAGAATATGTTTTAAATATAATCCCAGAGTGTTTTAAAAAAAAAGTTGAAACAAGATATTTCTGGACGTATTGCTATGAAAGCCACAGTTTCTTCAGCAGAATGAATATACGGATTTCTATTCAACCAATAAAATAAAGAATAAAAATCCTTATATTCTGCTGAAGAAGGTGTAGCTTACGCAACGAAACTTTCAGATATTATCTTGTTTTGATTACATTAAAATATACTTTTATAATGAAGCATTGTAATTGTTTTCAGGATTTCCTATATTAAAGTTGTATAAAATATGTCTCTACTCATTAAGTTATCCTTTCAACTAGATGTATTCCATTATTTAGGTTATATTTATTCATCGTTTTAATTATTTACTAATTATTTCATATATCTGCCTATTGTTTCTAGTATCCTTCACTGTTGCACATTGTGGAAAAACTGAAATCAATTATGCTTGATGCACCCTATCCACACTGTCGTACTGAATCATATAAGGTTTGTTCTTTCTTTTTATTGAAAATATTTGTATCTGATAATTATTTTATAAGATATGACCCAATAGAGTTGATTTTTTTGTAGATGATTTCATTACCACCCATTTAAAATGTGTCACTTTCACTCTGCTATCTATCTCAATAACAGCTGTATAACATACTCAGCCTTTATTGTTACATATTCCATTATTCAAATCAATTCAACCATATTCCTCTGTGTTGTATATGAATTTCTTGGCATGCTATCTTTCTACTTCTATGTGTGTCTGTATTAAGCGCTAGTCAAAGTATAAGAAACTTGCAGTTAAACCGGTTATAGTCTTACAATTTATGTATTAGCTAAGACGAATTACTTTCTGCGGGGAAGTTATACTTTTATAAATATGACAAGTCTGGAAAACACCAAATTATCATCAACAATCAATGAAATTCATGTCTATAAAAGATACATGGATCATACGTTTATAGTTTGTGATAAAAATATGAATCTTGCAAACTTGCTTTATACATTCTACAACGCCCACTCTTCAACCAAATTCACCCTAGAATCAGAATCAAACTCAACCTTCCATTTTCTTGATGTTCAACTTCAAAGAAAAGACGATAATTCACTTCGTAGATCGATCTACAGAAAGCTTACATGGAACGGACAACTTGTTAATTTTCAGAGTTCAATCCCCCTATTCAGGAAAAGAAATCTTATTCATTCACTTTCCTCGAGGATCGGGAAAATATGTACTGAGGACATGGTTGACGGAGAACTGCAACAAATACTTCGACGAACTCTAGCGGAAAGCGGGTTCCCGCTCAGATTCATAGATAAGATACATAAAGCCAAAGAACCCGAATGAAGAAAGACATTTGGCGCTGAAAAAGATTCTTTTGTTGAATCTTGAATTTAAAAGTGATATTGCTGCAGAGATCCTGAGAAAACGACTGTCAAAATCCATAAACAGAACATACTTTGCCGCCAACCTTCGGATAATTTTCTCCTGCAAGAAACTTTTCGGTCAATGTGTGAAAGACAAGCCGACGCATTGGGCTACATCTATGTGTATATTCCAGTTTACTTGCTCTTGTGGAGCTGAGTACATCGGCCGTACCATGCGTCCGCAAACACTACCCAACCTGGCTTCCAAAGGGAGAACGGAAATGCATCTTCAGTTCGATAACAGAACACCGCGTAAACTCAGGCCACTTAGCTCCTTTCGAGAGCTCATTCAAAATTCTTTACAGGGTTCGATCAAACCACTCGAAGGGAATAAAATCAAGGCATCTGTCTATAGCTGAAGCACTAGCCATCCAGAGGTTCAAACCAGCGTTATGCTTCCAAAAAAAAGTACGTCCAACCTTCATCTTTGCCAGAGCCATCATAAAGCCCTGTCTGCCACAGATTCATTTTGTATCAGGTAACTCTACACATGTATACCTTATTCATTTTTCTACTCTGTCACAGATTTAACCTGCAATACGTAATTACAGTCTTATTTTCATGATACCCTGTTTGTTTTCCTACTTTGTCACAGACTCAACCTGTGTTACATATTCACAATCCTAGTGAAACATATGGCTTCAGTAGCACGTCTCCACTGCACCCTTTTGAACCTGACGTCACGACTGCCCACAACCTCTCGTTTCTTCCGCACATGATCCCCTCCATGTCACCCTCACTTCGGACGCCCAACTCGTTTCCCGCTCTGAACTCCACTCGAGGGCCTGGCGCGTGGCGTCCTTGAACGGTCTTCCCAATGTATGCCCAGTCCAATCCATCTCCGTTTTCTTCTACATATTTGTTGAATGATGGGTTCTTGGTTGGTTCGTTGCCAGCCACAATGAGTTCCTTGTTGCTTATTCTTTCTGGCCATCTGATCTTCAGTATCGAGTGAGCTAGCGTAGGCGGCAGCTGTCGATAAATGTCTGTAGTTTGTTGGAAATGCTTTTCGTGACGCGCCAAGTTTCTGAACCATATAGAAGCACAGACTTGATATTGGTGTTGAAAATTCGGATCTTGTTCACGCTTTATGCTGAGTGTAGTAGATCTCCACACTGATTTCAGATTAATGAAAGCCATACATTCACCCTGTATTACGTAACTACATTTAATTTCATAATCCCCTGTCTATTTTCCCACTCCAAACACAAATGTGTATTAATTAACTTCCTTTAGTTAGTCACTATATTTCGCTCCCTGACCAGGAACAATTCTGGAACATTCTACCCACTTAAACTTATATTCACGAGTGTACAGCTTAGTAAATGACTTCATCGAAAAGAAAAATTTTTCTTCGCTGATACCACATCTTATAAATATTACTCTAGCAATCAGAACTAGTCGAAAACTTAACTATTTAACAGCATACCTTTTGAATTCTTACTTATATGTCTCACCGAAAGAATTTCTCTCACGTAATAACATGAGTCTCATCATTATATTCTGAAAGGTTCTATGCGGATTATATTTCATTATGCATATTCGGCAGATTTTACATATTCGGTATAGGTACAGATTTGTTTAGCCCTGTGGCTAGTGGTAATGGTGGTGGTATGAAAAACCGCAACTTGTAACTATAAATTGTGGTAGGTTATATATTCCGAACGGATATAATACACACGCTTAACTGACAGGTAACTGCGTATGCAACAGCCACCGACTGCAACCCGGGACGAATAGAGAAGAAGGCCGAAGTTGGATGATGGGAGAGTTTATTCCTTCGAGTATGATAATCAGTTAATTCAAAAACACGTGACTGTGTATGCACACGACATATGACCTTGTCCGTAATTTGAGACACTGACATAGTAAGAGTAAGAGTAAGAGTAGTAGTGAGGATTAACCAATCAACGAATTACATTACTACAATGGAGGCATAAAATAAAGTACTACTGGTGGTCATGCTGTCAAAGTGGTGTGAGAATGACAGGTTAAAAATGTTCAGACCAATGACAATGTTTTATGCACAACTGGGCTTTGCAAGAATAACAACCTTGACTAACCGAATCTGACCATCGACAGTTGGTCATGAACGTTTACACAAAGCTATTCAACACATTTCAACTACTAATCACCTGCTGGTTTTCCTGAACTCTAGGTGGTTTACTTTATGATGATAATGGGAATGTATGGTTAGGTAGTAGAAAGGTATGTGGACCTTACACGCATTCTGAGGTAATATTCTCGATCACTTAATGGAGATCACTGCCTGTTAATAACTCAGAAAGTAGGGATGTTTTTGCATTGCAACCAGTGTATCTGACTAATACATTGGTTAAAGTAAACTCTTATTCGAATACAGACCGTAAGAGAAAAAACTGATTTCCATTGAACGTTGTTTTGTATAATTAGTAAAAAGATTTTTGAATATTGAACTCTGATATTTTTCAGTGTACACACTAATATAAAAGTAATGCAGACTAATATACAGAGTAATGTAGACTGATTCGTGTGGAAAATTTTGCTACCAATAAAGTCAAAGAATGAAAAACACTAGAATCAACAACCTATCGCCCAGCAAGTATACAACAGAAGAAAGTGGAGATGGATTAGACTGAACATACACTGAGAACACCATTCGGGGACATCACGCACCACACCAGTCCAGGCCCTCGAGTGGAACCCATATGGAAAACGACGAGTTGGGCGTCTGAGGCTAGGATGACATGGAGGAGACCGTGTGGGGAAGAAATGAAAGCTTGTGGGTGATCGTGGAGCCAGGTCGGAAAGACTACAGAGAAGAGAGTGAAGTGTAGACGTGCTACCGAATCACTCACTATATTCCACTAGGAACCCAAGCGACGAATAATAATAATAACGTTGGATAGGAAAAACCCATACTGCAGGCACTGGAAGACTGCAGGGCAGACAAAAGTGTGCTTTTTGGGGACAACCCTTTCTAACCTCTTTCTATAGGGTAGGTAGCATCAGGTGGCTTGAGACATGTGCTACGCATGTCTAGTCTCCACCCACCTTGTTGCGCGATGCTGGTTGCAATAGTTTCAGGCTGGATAAAGGTTAAGGACGGTCACGCTAAAACATGGCATCAGTCCCTGACATGTTTGACTATCAGTCTAAAGGCATGTAGGGGAATTCAAACTTCCGGTTGGGATCCACAGGATAACAGGAAAAGTGATTGGAGAGTCTAGATGACATGGCTGAGAATTAGTTCTAGTTGCGCAGATGTATCCATAAATTATCCTCATGTTAATTGTCATACTGAATTTCAATACTCTCTCATTACTAGTTACTCTCTTTTGATGACCTCCCACTGGTTTTGACTACTTTCTTCCTCATTATTTCATCTCAGTACTTTCTTGTTTGATTTGCTCATACGAGTTGTGGCAATTCGGACCGTTACGCAGTAATGCCTTGTCTTACGCTTATCTTGTCTGTCTGAGTTACATATTCACTCATTGAAAGGGTTTGATAATGAGATTTCGAGTTGTTTTGGAGAAATTTAATTGTACAATCTTCCAGACCATTTTCAAAAGGTTTGTTTATATTCAGCACACTTTTTATTGTTTTTCTGTTTTCATTTAATCTAAGTGTGATGAAGTGTGGCAAAAGTGGTCAGTGTGGATGACAAACCAGAAAAACTCAGTAATTGCATACCTGTTCGTGTACGACGATATGAGACAAACATATGCCTGATAACATAATTTGGAATCTAAAGTTCCAACAAATGGAGGGAGGTTCAAGCCTTATGACGAGCTGGTCACGGATGGGGCCGTTTATTCTATAGTGCTTAGCACTGATCGAAATCTATCGATTTGCTTTCTCAAGGTAGCTACTAGGTAAAGTGACGCGACACTGCGGTGTACTGTATCTTTCTGTCAGATAGTGAGAATTAATTGGTAGAGAGTTCTGCTTGACTTAGGTTTTATGCTTGTCACTGAGCGATAGACTTAGATCAGTCAGTGTTCAGTAAGTACCAAAGAATAGACAGTTAAGTCGGTTACCTACTGGTGACCAGCTAGTGCACAGAATTCAGTCCTACATGGATTTATTCGTGGCTTCAGTAGCTCAATAGTTACGTCTTTGATTTCAGCAATAAGTTACGCAGATAAAAATCAGTGAGGGAAACCAGTCTTTTTGCTGATAAGCACTGACAAAACATGAAACCTAGGTGTTAGGGTATCCTGACAACTAACTTCCATTATATGACACTAGAACTGGTTAACAATCTTGAGAACAAGAAAATGAGGTATGGAGCGACTTTAGTGTCCAAATAATGTGAACATTAGTGGATCTAGAAAACGACTACTACCTACTGTTTTTCACTAACAGGTGGTCGGATTTACAATCCACTATTGGTGGAGTGAAAAATATCACCAAAAAAATAATAGGCATTTTATTGACTAGGTAATAACTTACATTTCCAATATGTTGCCAAAATGAAGGACCTAGGAAATTGTAAGCTGCATGCAGACAATTCAGTGCTGACTTCTTGACTCCAGGATCTGAGTCGGCAAGCTGTTGTGCAATTAGTTTGAGTGAAGTTAATCCTCTTGGATCACCGAAACGTGGTATGATACTGAGTAATTCATTCAGGCAAACTACAAGAAAAAACATGAGCAACTGATCATCGAGAGTAAGTGAAATATAGGAGAAATACTAAGGCAGTGGAAGATATATGCGAAACATTCAGTTCATAGTTGTTACGAATGTCCTGGAAGAGTTTGGGCGCCAAGTCTGCCTTTATCATTAGATAGATAAGTCCTAATATAATTCCCAGTGTGTTTAGAAAATCTAAAACAGGTTCTTCCTGGACGTTTCGCTGCGTATGTCACAGCTTCTTCAGTGGAATATTCCACTATTAATGTGATTTGGTTTTCTATTCTAAATACCGTGGGATTATATTAAAACTTACTGCTGATATATTGAGTAATATATGACAGGTAAGACGGTGATAATAAATGTACGACATCTATAGGAGTGGCAGTGTTGTGAGAAGGTACCGAAAAAAAGGATTTGTTATTTTAAAGGTTATTGAGAAACCATTCATTAAGGGATTGGGAGGAAGATATGCATTTCAGAGATAAAGACTCACAACTATGGGTGAAGAAAGATAACTTGTGAAAATCGATCTCACTACAATATTAGTGTTATGTATTCCGAACGGATCTAATACACACGCTTAACTGACAGCTAACTGCGTACGCAACAGCCACCGACTGCAACCCGGGACGAATAGAGAAGAAGGCCGAAGTTGGATGATGGGAGAGTTTATTCCTTCGAGTATGATAATCAGTTAATTCAAAAACACGTGACTGTGTATGCACACGACATATGACCTTGTCCGTAATTTGAGACACTGACATAGTAAGAGTAAGAGTAGTAGTGAGGATTAACCAATCAACGAATTACATTACTACAATGGAGGCATAAAATAAAGTACTACTGGTGGTCATGCTGTCAAAGTGGTGTGAGAATGACAGGTTAAAAATGTTCAGACCAATGACAATTTTTTTTAATGCGAAGCTGGTGCCTTATAGCAGGTTATTCGGAGGGGCGCTTAATATACTGTCACTTACAAAAGTTTCTTGAGCGACTCACCGTCAGCTTGTTGCTTACAAATAATCAACTTTTAGTTCTTCATCTTAAAAATTAACAATTCAAAGCTTCACACTGTCCTATTAGCAACAAGTGAGTTGTAGTGATAGTTTGCTGTATGTATCATGATGATGGTGGATGTGATCACTTTCTTCATCTTTGTTCCTTTTAATGAAGGGGTGATTCAGCTTCAGCGTTCGTGCTATTTTTATTCATCTAGAGACCGTTGAGTATATTATTATAAACATAACATCATCCTTCGTTAATATTTTTCAGTGACATGTACGTTTTTGCCCACATTTATTTGTAAATAAGATAATGAAATATGAGAGACCATTCTTGTCTCCATATGAAATCTGTTGTTGAGGAAATAAGAAAGTTCTTAGTCAAAACACAAGTTCAGTATATCAGCAGTTACGAAATAACGAGGGATCCGCTGCTGGTATTTCAAGAGGCTTATAGAAGTCAGTCAGTTGCTTGATAGTCATTCCTAAATTGTTCTCATCAGAACTAGTGAGTTTTATAACAGAAAATAGTGTTATATTTTGTCGAAATGACTGGATTCATATTGTATAAAACGAAGTTTTAAGTTAGTCTACGGCTATGCGTATGATGTCGTTTTTTTGTAGTTACAGTAGGTTGCTGGCGATAATGTTACAATAGCACTTTAGTTTCATAAAATGTGTAGCAAACTTGATTAAATTTCATGTTGACATAATTCATCGTATAAGGTGTATTTTTACTCGAATTATTCCTCAACGCTTCCATCGTACTAGAAAGATCCTTTTCAAGAGTATCAATCTGACATTAAGTTTTCGGGTTAATATTCAAGTTTTGCCACAGAAGATGACCTTTACGATCATCCAATTACATCATGATATGGAGCAAAGACCGATGTAATACAGGTGAGTGAATAAGCTAATCGGTCAGAGAGGCTTTTTTCAGTTGTGCGAGAAAGGTGGAACAAAAATAGGCTGGAGAAAACTTTAGTTCGTCTATGAAAAGTACAATGGGATGAAAAAGAATAAATCACTACTTTTGAAAGATAAATATTTGAACACTGATACTAGTGATAACGATAAAGGTACTTTTGAAAGCAGTTAAAGTATGAACAAAAACAGAATGGACTATGTAATACATCGAATGGTTCATAGAACCCACATAACTCAGAAAGGAGCGTGAAATTGATGGGAATAGTATATCAGTAAAGTATTATGTAATAGGACTAGGCAAGTTGATATGATTAAAACGATTGAGCTAAATAACACCGGAAACTATTCATACATGAACAAATTCGGAATAAATGATGTGGAATATTGTGAAGTTGTGTTCTATCTTTTCTTCATATATTATTTGGAACTGTCTATGTGGGTCATTAACGTTTTCCATATTTGTGGGAGATCCAACCCTTTTTTTTATTCTGTTGACCGAAGAAGGATACGAACAGACGCCCGAAGCTTCTGCAGTGGGTCGCTATTTGTGAAAAAGAAAACTCTTATGCAAGATTTTTGCCTTTTCGAATGATATTTTGTGACCTGACTATAAGGCATGAGCCGCGATGGCAGAACCTTTTTCAAGTTTCTCTAAATTATAGGAATTTTTTTTACTGATTTCTTGCAACTTCGACCGTGTTAGTACTTGACGTGATATGTAGCACCACATCCACCAACTTATAAACACAGTTTTGCTATTCCAAATAGGGAGTCAGGTGTTTTCATTTACACAGATGTGAGTGTAATGTTGTCGACACCTTAAAGAACACTGATGTTGTACGTATTACGGATATATCTTATTTTCTCTGATGTAGATATTCGATAAGGAAGTACTACAGCATTTATCCAATCTTTATTGGCTAGATTTAACTCAGACCCAACTCCATGATGGTTCTGTTACAGTAGTGTAAGAAAACTGAAGTCGTTTCACTGATATCCAGCAATACTTAAGATTTAGACTTAAAGTTTTGGCAACGAAACATTCTACATGGATATTTGTTTTTTTACTTCATTTTCAGGTAGAGGTGTAGCATACGGTTTCCTGTTCCCAGTGGAATACTGAATAAATCATTTATTATGTATATGAACTGTCTATTTGTTAACCTGTGGTGCTTATCTCTTCTCTTTTCCTTAGTTTCATTAGCATTGTTTCACTTACCTAAAGATTCTGTGGAGAAATACAATTTGTTACCATGGTAAACGTCTTCATTGAAATCAGTTTTCGCATCAATGTGAATGTCATGATGGGCGTCCGAAGGAGAGGCCATACTACTACACCTTTTCTATGGGAAGGGAAAGTTAGAAAAGGTCGGCGGTAATAAGAACATACTCCGTTGTATTTCGAGGTATAGCAGTGCCGGTTATGCAGGTTCATAAACAGATTTGAAAAAGCAAATCACAACCTTAAGATTCTAAAAAGGCAATGTATGCTCGACCTCAAGCAAATGTCCCTTGAGCTTTTGTGGTAACACACTAACCCTCTTTCAGATGCCTTCCATGGTGTGGACAGCTAGAAGCGTTAACCACCCTTTAAACTCTGTCAGCACTCAGTTTCCCTCAGACCACTGCTCGCCTTCCACATCTTTAACTTCTTATTTTCCTTCTCGCACTCCATCAACATTCCTTTATCAACTTACATTTCCTTCAGCTCTGCAGCAGTTGACAACCATCTAGGTTTACGGAACTGCATCCTTAGTCTCCTGAAGCCACGATCCAAACTACATATTGAAGCGATCGATATCCACACCCGCTATCAAATCGGACAACAGGTTTCAGTGACCAGAACTCCAGCATCTTTGGTCATGAATGTGTACTGTGTCTGCGGGGTACTCATACAGGACCCATGTGTGGTTATTGACACAGACGCACCCAACCAATTTGGTTGGTCTTCAGCATTCACTCTTCGAGTTTCTGGATATTCGATGGTTAATTTTGCTGTATTGCAGGCGTAGATATAGCATTGAGGACTAGGGCAGAAGGTGTACTGCTCAACTGGATCCAATTTGACTGTGGATTGTCCGACTGAAAAGTGTAGTGAAACTCGTCGTCATCTCTTTGTAGGTCACGTCAAGCCCCCTACAGATTGACTACATTTCGAATGAAGTGAAGAATGGGTTCTACCGGGAAGTATCTAGCCTCCTATTGAAAGCCAGGGGTTCAAACGTGTAGCGGATGATTTTAATGCATAAGTGGATAGACTAAGTCAGGCAGAAGGGCATTTTCAGAGTACCAACTGAACAAACGGAAAATGATAATCTCTTGTCTCAGCTGTGTTCAAACAACCACTGGTTTGAGATTAGCGCGAAATTCATACAGAAGAGAGACTCAACGGTAGGGGATACAAATGGAGTATATTGTCATCATTTGGGGTTGGGGGGGGGGGGGCTGTCGCTTCTTCTGGAGCTCTTGTTTGCACAGAGACCACTCATTGATTCTAACCCGCTTATATTTGCACGGAAATGGATGTCGAGAAACTAGCATTGCGAATACAGCTCAACAATGAGAGCGATATAGATGCTTTCAGTGAGGAACATGCTGGACAGTTATTGGAAGAGGACAACATAACACATCTAGAAGTGGAGTGGTACCACCTACAGTTTGGTGCAAAAACAGCGTTGAAGACCATAACCGACTCCCGGAGTGGTTAATAAGAGCTAGTGGATCACAGTAGCTTCTCAATTGCTGGTTGCACCTGAACTCATCCCTTCAGGCTCCGAGTACAGTGAGGAGCATAAGTATTTTAAAGTCTGGCAATGATCGCGAGCAGTTGTGGAGAGCCTAAGGATATGAGGAGAGCAGAGTTGATAGGTAACAGTAGACAGTTATTTAGACTTGTCTAGGAAACTGGGGTGATGTTGACAGTTAGACTATAGGGGAGAAGAATGAGTTTGTTATTCACTAGCAAAGAAGATGGCTACAATGACATTGTAGTACTTTGAGTGACGGTTCGGCTGACTTCCAGCTACTATTCTGTTACCCGCTTTTCAGTCGGATACGGAATGGATCGTCGAGATATGATCGCCCATGCTTACAATAATCGAGAAAGTTGTAGGTAACCTGAATCAAGTGGGAACACCAAACCGTGACGGGTTAGCACTAAAGGTATCCAACGACAATCGTCAATGATTAGTGTCTAAACTAACTGCAGTCTTAGCTACTGTGTGGGAGCCTGATTTGATTTCGTCTGATTGTCTGAGTCTTCAAGTTGGGAAATAATTTTGTGACAACCATATGAAAATCAGCCTAACGAACGTATTCTCGAAGATTCTGGTTTCTTCACTTCAATCACCAGACGTCGAGTTCGAGAAAATCAGGTAGGCATCAGACATGGTTGTGGACGAGTAAACTCATTCTGTCAAGTTTTGGACCACAGACAGCGTGATCGGATGCTGGCTGTATTTCTTGATCTGATGGCAACGTTTGACTCCATCAGTCAAGAGGTCCTATGGTAGTATTTCTTCTTGAGAGGGCTGCCGTGTGTATGGAGGAATTGGAATTATGTGTACAAAAGAAACTTATCCAACACTTTTTACAACCTTGACCTCAGTAAATAGTACAAAATCAACCTCCTGTCTCTTAATATTCGGAGCTTATGTTTTATCACATATTTTGATAGCCCAATGTCGTCTTCTCTTTGTTTCTATATTACCCTCTCATGTTCTTTTCTGGGAACTTGCCTTTTATGTTGTAGGACTTTATATTTTAACCTTTTAATTTCGTTGGTTTCCATGATCTGTAGTGATTAATTTTCACCTTGCATCACATTTATGGATTTTCTACCTTCATTCAACTTGATTAATTAGTACTTGTAACTATCCAATATAGCTGAATAAAAATATATTGATTGCAACTGCACAGTGATAAGTTGTAGTGCACCATCCTGGCACCAAAATATAACTAAGGCTAAAATAAATAGTTTAAATTAAATTAACTAAATAAGTCTCCAGCTTGCCTCCGGATGCTTAGGGTGTTTTAAGTTTTGTTTTAACGAGCATGCATCCGAGCAGGCTTGGACGCCATTGTGCTGGTTACCACGCACGTACTCCGAGTCCCTAGTTCAGCCTTACAAGCCAGATAAGTTGATTAAACTTTTCCCTCATTCATTATTGTTACATTTACTTTAATTAAATACATAGCTCCTTTAAATACATTGCGTATCAGTTCTTTTGATTTGTGTTTTGTTATCAGTACTTACACGTTAGGTAAAGTACTGGTTAAGTAGGTACTAGAGCACATCAAGTTAATTAGGGTTGATCAAACGTTACGGAATTGTAACACGCAACCCTACAAAGTAATAATATCGCCGAAAAAGATATCTTCGATAAAGTTCTCATTCTCTTTACTATCCTTATGGGTGCTTTTGGTAATTTTCAGCAGATCAAAATGTGATTACATAATTACTGTTGACATTGTTGAAAAACTAATTGCAACATATCTTATCATTATGGAAATTAGTATACATGGTGAAGTAGTTAAGTCAATAGGTAAGAATGTTATGAAAATCGATTGTGCAATCTAGTAGTTTTCAACCTAATTATTCAATTTGAAGGTATCAGGTTTAATCAAAAATGATGTGACAAGACAAGAAACAAAACATTCAAATATAAGGATAAGATTGTGTAATTAAGCAAAGGCTTGGGTTACCAAGGCAGAGGGAGATTGTTGTAAGCCTTAGAAGACTTAGGGTAGTTTGTTCAGATATGTACATATGTTTCCATAGCAACGTGTTGAGTTCATATTGATGATAATCAAAAACATGGGAAAACTATACTCACCAGATTTGTATACAAGAGGATTTGGTCGTTTTATTTCAGTTCTAACGAACAGAAACTCATATAAGCGGTGCTCCCTCTTATGCTGAACGACTCGTAAACACTATTTAGTTCACTAAAAACCTCATGGAAACTTCAATGGAAATGCGCTTGTCTCCTTTCAGTCTCAGTTATGACTTTACTGAAATAAATTGTAACTATAGATTGGTAAGACTTTAATATGGATATATAAGATATCTGTAAGTTAATTAAATTTACTTACATCAGATTCACTACAAAAATTCAGACCGTATGACATTTTGGGAGTATGAGTGCAAACAAATGTCCAATAGTCTATATCATATTTATTTAGCAAGGTAGGTTGAAGAAATCCCTGGAGACTGAGGCGAACAAGAGATATTGTCCACAAGTAATTATTGCACTTGTTAACAGTACCTTAGAAAATTAGGGGCTCCAGCACACTTAGTGATCGGTTTTCTCGAATAGTGAGGAATTGTGAGACGCATCGAAAAGTAGTGCAGGATAATAGGAAACGCATTAAACGACGGCATGAAAACAGTACACATACGAACTGTCTCTTTTTGAAAATGCTATGGGTTGAGTGTACTTTAAGTTTGAAGGCAACTTGAAACTATACAAGGATAATAATTTTGCACAAGCCAGATAAAAGGTTCTTAGGAAATCAATCCTGTAGGTTGACAGAGATTGCATTTACTACCCTCCGAGTGATTTCATATAATAATATTTTATTCCCTAGGTTTATCGGAGCATACCATTATTAGAGATGTGGTTGTCAAGATCTATTTACAAACTCTTGTACAAGTGTTTATGTCATTTTGATTATTTATAAGGTAGCAACAATCTCCAGGTGCAACAGAAACAACTATATATGAGATACAACTGATGCATGTAAAGGCAAAGGATAGTTATTGAGAACTTTTTTAACTTTTAGTGCACCTTCCTGGCAACAAAATATAACTAGGGCTAGAATAAATAGGCTAAATTAAATTGACTAAACAGACCTCTGGCTCGCCTTCTGATGCTTTACGTGTTTCGAGTTTTGTTTTAACGAGCGGGCTTAGGGCCATTTTTGCGCTTCCCTAGTGCTGGTTAGCACGCACGCACTCAGAGTCTCTAGCTCAACCTTACTAGCCAGATAGGTTGATTAAACTTTTCCCCCATTCATTATTATTACATTTACTCTAAATAAACACATCGCACCTTCAAATACACTGCGTATCAGTTCTTTTGATTTGTGT